TTTGCTTTCCTCAAGGCATAATATATAAGGCCTATCATTCAAAAAGTTACCAAAGCACATCAAGCACAGTTTTCACATAAGCATTCTTCAATATACAATGTAATGTCTTAAAAATAAATGCTTATTTCAGGAGAGTTCTTTATTATTTTCAAATTTCATAATTGTAAATGCACTCCAGAGTTTTAACTACTGTACAAGTGTACCCTGAAGTAAAAAAAAAAAAGGTTGAGAAACACTGATCTAGAGTGTAGAGTTTTGATAATAAAATAAAAAAGAGGAAAAAAAAAAAAAGAAGATTATTTCTTGGAGAGGTGTGTGTCTGTAGAAATGCTATATTTTCTTACCATACCAGCTTGTGTGTGTGTGTGTGTGCAGAGAAAGTCAATGCTGGAAGCATATTTCATCCTAAATTCACTTGGCGTTATTTCCTCAAGTTTGTTATTTACTATCATCACATGTAATTCAATTACCTCCAGATGAATGACAATATTGCTGCCACATCTGGTCTGGTGTTCTTGCTATATATTTAGAGATTCTTGATAAAACCCATTGAAGAATCAGCAATATTATTAGTCCTGACCTGGCATCTTGGTTTCAGTCACTTTCCCACCTCCATAATAAATCATTCCTGTACCTTTTCTATAAATAATTTCATGGTAATTGTTCTTATGAACTTTCCTTTATGGCATGTAAACTATGAATTTAAGCACAGTACCACATTAGCAGCAAGATCACATCATTTTACAGTTGAGATGGCTTGATGTAATTGTAAGTTCTATGCTTTTCTCGCACTTCTCAGTTGTGGAACTCTCTTCTGGCTTCTTGCTTTCCAGTCAAGTTTCATCTCCAGAAATTTAAATGCAATGTCAATTGTTATTGTCCGTTTTCTTAATTCCTGTTCTTTTATTGTTATCTCTCCTTAATCTTTTTCTTTTATTCTTTCACATTTAGTAATCCCCTGCAATTTAGTGGCTTTGTTGCCTTATTTGGGGCGAAATGAAATTGCAAAAAACAAAATAATTTTCATCAGTGACAATATTTTAAACCTTCATTGGAAGTGAACAATGTCATTTTGAGTTGGTTTTGATCACAGTCTGTACAAAAATTGCCCATGGACTGTATGTTGGGCAGTATGTCACATATTTGGTCATCCTTCTCATGAATTTGTAGGCAAAGATTCTAATATCACCCATTTCCTCATTAATATAATATTGTGTTTATTTATGCAAAATATGAATAAAAGGAAATTATTTTTCTTCTATTTTTGTAATAAAGAATTGCCTTTCATTTATTCAAGCTATTGTTTATCTTTAATTGTTATAGGTTTTATTACAGACACACCTTCAGGCTATCTTCAGGTGTCCATTTTTGACTAGTAGATGATATCTTATATTAGCGACTACTGTTATTTTTGTTCCTATTACACCATTTCTTGTTCATGCCTGCTGAAGCAGAATGGGTGGATTTCACTACCCGATCCAGGAATAGAAACCCTGGCCACTAGATGACTGCAATGATTTTGTCCATAACAATGACAAAAACAACAATAATTAGCTCATGATGAATCAATATGGCTGAAGAAAGGCACAGGGAAGAGATTTTCTGAAGAATGCAGATAAAACATTAAAAAGAAAAGTTAGATAAAAAGCACCACACGTTTGCTAGGAGTGTCTAAAAACAAATATGAGAAATTTAACAATTCTTAGAAAAAAAAATGAAAATCTTCCAAAAATGGATGAATCAAGTTCTGTGAGAATTTATTGCTTGTTTCAATTCTTAATAAAAACTAGACAATCATCCATAAATAGTCTGTAATGGATATTTATTGATTGATTTTTTTTTTATGGCTTATCAATCCTTTGTTGGTCATTTAAAGCCAAAACACATTATGATTAGTAAAATTAATTTTTTTTGTAAGTGTATATTGCATTAATTTTTTGGAGAATAACAATGATTTTTCAAGATACAAGTCCTACTATCTAATCTCTATTTGGGGGAAGGAGATTGATTCACACCTTTCCCAAAAGTATTTGCCATTTATTGATAATTGAAGCAATAGTAATAAATTCTCAGACCACTCACAGCTTGACAGATCCATTTTTGGAAAATTCAATTACTTTTTTGTTTTCCTGTTTCTCGCATTCCTTTACGACCTTCCACAGTTCTTGTAGTTTCCTTTCAGTGTCTGTTGTCAACACTGTGTCATCTGCATATATTATGTTAAGATTGTGACTGCCAATAATGAATCATAGTACGACCTCTGATTCTCTTAGAATCGCACCCCCAACTCCATACATTTATTAACAAATCCACCAAACAGTGACATCTGATTTCTCTTTAGAGAGAAAATATGGTTCCTACTGTATTTATGCAAAAGATTTTGTTTGTATTATGGAGATATTATTGCCAAGATGTTGTAATGTGGAATCTTCAAATTGAATCTTTGCTTTTTAACACCCAAATCACATTGCTTTATCTATGCCATATGTGGTTTTTTTAAATGGAAAATTATGCTGTCAGGAGGACTGATATTACATAACAATTCAGAACACTTTGTTTGTAACGGTATTTTCCTGTTACTTAATACTTTGCTTAGATTTTGGAAGGCAACTTTAGCTATCCCAATGTGCCTTTGAATTTCAATGTCACATTTTCTGTCCTCTGTTAAAACAATTCCCAGATATTTAAATAATTGTACTTGTTTGATTTCAGTATCGCCAATTTATAATTTGCATGTTGGACTGTTTCTCTTGCTGACAAAATTAGATTCTACGGTACAATTCGTATAATTGATGCATAGTCCCTTCTTCTAGCTTTCCTGTACTACCTTCCGCAGGAGTTCTTATAGTTTCCTTTCTGTGTCTGCTATCAACACTGTGTTATCTGCATATGTTGTTAAGATTGTGACTGCAAATAATGAATAATCCTGGTAGGACTTTTAATCGTCTTAGAATCACCTCACTGTAAAAGTTCAACAAGTTCAGTGGGAACCACAATCTTGTGTTGCCGGGCTGGTGTGTACGCATTGAGAGATAATCACATGTGTCTCCTGAAATGCCCACGACAAACATGGCAGACTCGGGATGTGAATCCACATAAAGAAATGTAAAGAAACACCAAGAACTAAAATATGATTTTCCAAGTGTAGTTTAGATGTGGCACAAGGCTGGGAGCATGGGGCACCCAGTGAGGATCGAACTCACTATTCAGTTGTAATCGTTTTAGCGAGACAAGCTTGCTAACAATTACACCACAACAAGGTGACCTTCAAGAACTGATATATATGTACATACAAATGATAATGTATTAACAAGAAAAGGTTACAAGTGACGATGACAATAATGTGTGTAACAAATGAATGTGAAAACTCTAAAGTATGTGAAGTGATTGAATGTGCATACATAGTGTGTGTGTGTATTGTTCATGCATTACGCGATGTTCCATGAGAGATTTACATTGTTGTCACATGAGCGGAAAAGTAAGAAGAGAGCAATAAAAAATTATCGCAGAGTATTTATAATGCTGGAGAGCATTCCGTCAGAGCGCTTACAAAAATTAGGAGGAGATGACCCAATATTTGTTTATGCACCTTTCTATTTTTGTGTATTTACTGATTTAATTTTTGGCAATATGTAACCTTCATACCCACAAAAAACAGTGTGTCAAAAGGACAATTTTTCTCTTGACACCAGTATTACAAAGGGCTTCTTTTTATTCCCACGGCAATGTTTATTATTTTAAAAAGCGATGATTAGAATTTTAATAAAACCCAAACATATGAAAGTGGATTTATACATTTTCATTATTCGTGAGAACTGACAACAAAGATGTTAAACATTATTTATTAGATTGCTTATTTACAAAATTATAAAAATATGTGAACCAATTATAATGAAATATTTATTATTTGCTATTTTACACTATTTACATTATTCAGACTATTGTCCTCATCTTTATTGCCATATTTATTACAGTGTTTTGGCCGTTGTACGCTCTGGCTCTCTTCAGGTGGTTGGAATGTCGAACTGAACCCTTTATTTTGCTCACTGGGGTAGACTGTTCTAGTTCCACATGCCATGTCTAATGGATGTCAGTTATCACTTATCTCTTGCTTAATTCCCTCTCCAAGATCTCCACTGCCTTAACCAGGTATTGAACTCACACTCTTTGGGTCCTGTCACTGGATCTAACCAACGCTTTTATCCACTGTGCCATGTGTCCTTGAGGACATTGCCATTTTACAAAGAAATAAAAATGAAAAGAAATCTTTTTATTTGTAAATTTATAAAAATTTCTGAACAAGAAAATTTAAATAAACACTGAGTAACTAATTATAAATTTTGAAAAAAAAAAAAAAGAATGCACATTGAAGGCCTTCTTTTCGTTTGCTCTTGCCGCATAAATTCCATAAAATAGGTTGAAAGAATCTCTTCCTATAAACCAAACAGTCTTTTAATTTTAGATTGTAGGCAAGACCATGAACACTGTGTATCTCTATTTATTGGATGTACAAAATTTAATTACAGAATGTTTGTAATTTTTACTACAAATATTGTATTGTTGTTGGTTTATAGATTTTGTTAATTTTATAAATTTTTTATAAAATTTTTAATGAAAAAATTTCTTTTCAAATTTGTTTCTTTTTAAAATGGTAGATAATAAATCATAATAAAAGGTAAATAATAAATTCCACATTGTACTTGATTCACATATTTTTATAATCTTGTAAATAAACATTGCTGAGGGAGTCAAAAAAAATATGGTGTAATAGTGGTGTCAAGGGAATAACTGTTCTTTTGACACACCATTTTTCTGCAGGCACAAAAATTAAATATTGCCTCATTTTCTATCTGCATACAGGTGATCTGCTTTTAATAAGGTTACAAAATATTCTTTGCAATTTTCCAAAATAAAATCTTAAATAAATAAATCCCATGATGCTCTAGGCCTAAGAAAACCTTCCTTTATATGAGACAAAAAGAGAAAAGATATAAACTTACAGTATGGTAGTGGGGAGGTTTCATTTTATTCTTTGTTATCCATTCAAAAAGCTTCATTTTTGGTGTTATGGCAACTGGATAATTTTTTCTGAAAGCATGAAAAAAAAAAAAAATAGTTTATCATCATTAAGCAAAAAACATTAACAGGTGATGAGGTGGATGGATTTAATGATAATTTTCTAATATGGCAGACTTCTAGAAATGGCATTAATGTTTGCTTTCAGCTTATAATCTATTAACACTCCTTCTCTACTGCTGTTAGAATTGTCTTACTGAAAATAATTGACACAGAGCAAGTTGGATTCAAGCCTAGATGTACCAGGGTTTACTAGAACAATCAAGTAAAACCAAGTAAGACTTTTTACTAGAACAATCAAGTAAAACCAAGTAAGACTTTTTACTAGAACAATCAAGTAAAACCAAGTAAGACTTTTTACTAGAACAATCAAGTAAAACCAAGTAAGACTTTTTACTAGAACAATCAAGTAAAACCAAGTAAGACTTTTAACTCCTAACTAACAATTTGCCAGGTGATTGTCTTTTGCACTTACAAGTTCTGTTGTTATCTATACAAAAGACTACCACAAAAACTTAACATTAGCTAAGACTATAATTTAAAATGACATTTGGATCAAAGTATTGTAGTGTCAACATGGCTGGAGATAGGAAGAGATTTTCTGAAGAATGCTATTAAATCTTTAAAGGAAAGGTTTCCATCTGTTTGCATGGAGAGAGTGTGTTGGTAAACAAGTGAGTGAGACATTTAACAATTTTTAGAGAAATATAAAAATAAGATAAATAATGGAATTTTCCCCTCAAATGGGTCTGTCAATCTAGGGAAGGTTTGAGATTTATTGCTATTGTTTGAATTTTCTATAAATCTATAATCAGGCAAGTATCAGTTACAAATAGTCATTTGATGGACATTCTGTTGGTATGCAATGTATATGTGCGGTGTTTGTAATACTGTATGCCCAGCAATATAACTGGCTCAAGGACTTTGTTTGAACGTCCTGCAAGACTCTACAGTAACTTTTGGCAGGATGACAAGTACATCGTGAAGTAGAGATATATTGTCAGAGAGGAAAAAAAAAAAAAAAAAAAAACAATGAAATTTTCCTGTTTAGAAAACAAAAAGATGTTTACATGTATAATCTTCCATAGTGAAAATCATCAGCAGTTTAAAATGCTGAAAACGTTATTTTCAATAACAGGTTACAAAATTCAAGAACCATTGAAGTGAATCATTGTTATGGATGTGGCTGAGAACGTGTGAGTGAACAAGTGAGAATGAAATGAAACAATGTTTTAACAAGTGTTATTTTCCTCATGAAATTTAACTTCACTCAAGGACACATGGCACAGTGGATAAAGGCGTTGGTTAAAAACAAAATTGGCATGTTTATAAATGTACAAAAAAAATTAAAAATTCTTTTAAAAATATTGGTGTTTGATGATTTATATTAAGCTTTTCAATTTATGATTAATAATAATATCACCTAAAAGGCTGAAATTAATACTGAATTTTAAAAGATTTCAAAACGTTTATATAAAAAAAAAAAAAAAAAAAAATGAAAATTCTTATAAAAATTCATTATTCATCAATTTTTTTTTCCCTTAAGACTTAATATATCTTATTTATAAAAGCAATTAAAAGCTTTTCTAATTAAATAATCTCAGTTTTATTGATTTTTTTAAAAACAGATTTTTGGTAAATGATGTTTCTGTTTGACAAAAACAAGTTGATGATTTAAATCTTCCAAGGAGTCCTGCTTTTAACAAATATAAATATGAATATATTTTCTAAAAAAAAAAAAAAAATAAAATAAAATTTTTCTCTTAAACATTTTGACAATAAAAAATTGTTTTTATCATGGTATCCTTTTTCTTTTTTTAGAAAATTTTTGTAGGTAAATAGATTTTTGCCTATAAGCATTTTTATGTGAAAGTGAATAGAAGAGACTAGTCTGGAAATTGAACTCGACTCACTATTTCCCTTTTCTGTAGTCATAACATTCATATTTGCACTTTGTTTCAAGACAATTTCTAAAACCCTAAGTCTGTCAAGGGACGTCACTCTGCATTCAACACTCGTCATTCTTATACATTTGTAATAAAAACGTTATGAATTCTGATCACTTTTTCTCTTAAAGATTCTTGCTATCCAAACCTGTCAGTTTTCCAACAGAATATTTACTTCTTTTCAAGGAACAAACGTCAAACCAGTTGTAATAAGTAGAGAACAAAATGGTTAACACTAAAAAATATTATCAGAATTTACTGTGACTATTCCATATATTATATAATGAATATCTTTATCTTTGTTGTTTTGATGTCTATATTTGGACCAACCTCCACCTTATTCAGTTGTAACATACAACTGAATAAGGTGGAGGTTGGAAATGAAATGAAATGAAATTTTTTTAAGTCTGTTACTACTCAACATAGAACAAATTGATTGAGTGATTTTTTTATGGTTTATCAGCCCTTTGTGGGTTGTTTAAAACTGAAACATCTTGAATTGAAAGAATTTTTTGTAAGTTAATATTGCATCAATACAAGTCCTTCTATTTAACCCATTGCTATGGGGAGGAAATGCATTCAGACTTTTCCTAAGAGTATTTGAGCATAAGTGAATGCAACGAACCCAATCAGAATTCAAACACGACTTTCTGCAAATCAGAACAAGCTACTGTTTTAAAAAGAGAAAGATGTGCTTTGCACAAAATATCTTAATATTAAAATAACAATGAGAATAATTTATGAAATAAAGACAAAATGTTTAAAAATACAGTAACTTAGCAATATGTGGGTAGTATAGAAGATAACAATATGGAAAGCAAACTTAGTGTATCAGGCTCAAATTTCAGGCTAGTACTGTATTCACATTTGCACAAATGCCTGCGAGAAAGGCATGAACTGGTTTCCCCTCTATCCATCAACTAGGAGTTAAATAGCAGGCTAGACTGCACTCTCTAGCTTTTGGGTAACACCCAGTCTAAGAGAAGGACAACTCTCAAATGAAAGTTATGGAGAATTCAATGGGAAACCATACCACTACCTTTCCCAATAAGGTATGACACTTCACAGATAATAAAGAAAATGGGAATCTGTAGAGATCCAACAAGAAACTACTCCACTACCTTTCCTAATAAGTCATGACACTTCACAGATAACAAAAAAAAAAAAGATCTGTGGAGAGTCATGATTACCAATATCTTGAAGGCATTAAAAGAAAGAAAAAATAACACTTGGCAAAGTAAATATTTGAATTATACATTCATTTCAATGTCATCCTAATACACAATCTGTCCTACCCACATCAAACATGAGCTATAATGATTTGCTTTCAATCTATTTCAGGATTTTGACACACTGATCCTAAATTCTACATTTGGAGTCACAAAAGAAACAGTTAACAAAAACCATTGCTCTTGTTTTATGTTTTTATTTCAGCAGTTTCATCAAGAAGAAAAAAAAAAGATCAGAGATTACTGACCACAACATCAAGACAAGTTTTATTATCTAATGTGAACAATTATTTCAAAAAAGCCTAATAATTTTAAGTTTAGAAAAACAACTTAAATAATATCTTCTTCATTCCCAACAAAGCACATTTTATTCATACTTACTTTACATAGCGTATCACCATCTGCACCAGAGTCTTGCCATCTTCTAACTTTTGTTTTTTAATACAGGGTTCATCATCAATTTCCTTTATAGTTGTAAGATTGTGACTCTTTTTCCTTCGTGTCTTTATCACATCTTTATAAAATACTTCTAAGCCCCAAATGTTACTGAAACAACAAAAACAAAAATAATTTTATTTCCAGTAGACAAATTTTTCTAACAATTAGAAAAAGCAATTTACTTTCCAGTTGTTTGTTTCTTATAATAAACAATAAGAACTACTGGAATTATCTCAAGAAGCAGGTAAATATGCCATGAGTAAAAGAGAAGTCATTTGTTTTATGTAAGTGAACATTGAAGGCAACACTTAGAGGCAACCGGCTGTTTCATGCTAGATGCAATCGTCAGGCCACCTGACGATTGCGTCTAGCATGAAACATCCGGTCGCCTCTGAGTGTTGACTTCAATGTTCAATTTTATATCTATATTTACATATGCTCTATCTCTGATATTGAGCACTTTATCTCATAAATATAGCACACCTTAAAACTATATTTGCTTATATAATGGAATCTCCCATTGGTTTCGATGTATGAGGATCTGGCAGCTTAATTGATTCAGTTATGAAATTTTGTGCGATAATCTTAAGTGGCACTTAAGACCCACTAGTGATTTACAAAGGAGGCCACATGTGGAGCAAGAATGAGGATTGTGAGATGAGATCACTGTTAGATTGGCTGACCTTTTATATCTTGCTCATATATATATATATAGAAAAAATATATTTAAAATTATTGATTTAAAAACACGTTGAAAACATTCTACAGGATCCAAATGTGTATATATATATATATATATATATATATATATATATACACACACACACATTAAAGTGTTTTTCCCTGTAATGTTTGAAACATTTGATATCCTAGAGTTATCTACCTTACTACTTATTTATTGGAGATAGAGGTAATGTCTATTTGTTATATATATATATATATATATATATATATATGCATACATAAACAGAAGTAAATGTAATAAAAATAATCAACAAATAATAAATAATGAGTAAAAAAGTTAACAAACCTCTAGAATAATTTGAAATATAACCATTACTGCCTACCCAATAACTGTTAGGATAATACAATAGATCTACCCATAATGTGCCATTGAACAGCATATATGGTCAATCCAAAACATTGAAGTCAAAATTATAAAGGTTGTTTCATGCTAGATGCAATCATCATGCCTGATGATTGTGTCTAGCATGAAACAGCCTGTCACCTCTAAGTGTTGACTTCAATGTTCACTTTATATATGTGATGATGAAATTTGAAAAACCTAATACAAGATTTGATTAAATTTGTCAACATTATTCAACCAAACATATGTGAAAGAATTATTGCTTTACTTTAACATTACATAGTTTTCAGTCAGCACCTGATGAATGAGTTGTGCATGAAACTCAAATATAAAATCAGAGATTAAAGTGATAAAAAAAAAAGTACTGAAAATGCTCAATCTGCAACAACCTGGCCCTTACCTAAGGAGCCATAGATGAAAGGGTGCTAGCAGGTAAGTTACCAAACTATTCCTTTTGGAAGAAAATTCCAATAACCAAAAATGCTATTCTTAGAAGAGTGCTCAATACAGAGTAGAGTAAATATTATTTATTCAAAAATTATAACAAACATTTTATATTAAAAACAAAATTTATTTTGTTTCAACACTTCTGGTCTCTTCTCAAGTGATTGTGTTGAGTGTTTCTACATTCAACACCATCACTTGATAAGACACCTAAAGTGTTGAAACAAAATGGCTATTTTTGTAGTGATTTTATAACATGTTTTTTTTTGTCATTTTTGATCATTTATTTATTTATTTATATATATATATATATATATATATATATATATATATATATATATATATATATATATAAAATTGTATATTTGAGCAGTCATCTTTTTTTTTTATACATGTTTCATTGAACATGACAGACAAGGAAAATTTTATAAGGTTTTTATTCCATTTTTTCTAGTTGTTCTTTCAATTCTTGTCTTTATACTGAGAGAGTGTAGAAACTGTCCATTAATGATTAATGTCCCAAGTGCTTTTGGTAAATTCATGTTCTGTCTTTTATAGAATGAGTCAAATTTCTAAGCCTTGTTGGATGAGTAGCAGTAATTCCATGTTGGGAGTGCCTTTAGAACACTGCTAACACATTCTGGTTTGTTTCAAAGCAAGTGATATTGTTTCCTTTATCTTTAAATATCTTTCACAATGAGATGTTTTTAAAATGACAGTGTTGTCTACAAATTTTTCTTATGGGAACAGGGAGTTGCATATGAGTGTCTAAGTCCTTACTTATTTGACTAAGATCACTTAAGTGGGTTGTCAGTCTCCAACATAATGGCAATGTTGTCTAACCCAACTGGGATGTTGGTTTCTATACTCTCTTAGTCCTCATAAAGAAAACGTGTAAGAACACTAAAAACCCTGCATAAAAACTCATACAATTTTCTTTGTCTATATTCCTGAGATGAGGTACTGGAATTATTTACACTATTTACATTGTTTGGACTGTTGTCCTCATCTTTGTTGCCATATTCACAATGTTTCAGCTGTCATACACTCAAACCTTCTTCAGGTGATTGGAATTTTGAACTGAATCCTTTATTTCATTCCCTAGGGTAGATTATTCTAGTTCCATATGCCAATTAACTTCTGGATGTCTTCATTATATCCCTTTAAGTCAATTCACCAAGTTTTGAACTCATAACTCTTTGAGTCAAGTCATTGAATCCAACCAACACTTTTATCCACTGGTCATATGTCCTTGAGGACATCAGTGTATGAATTTTGGGGACTTATAAACTTAATGTCTCAGTAACCATATTTTACCAGAGCTCATATTGCAAATTTTATTGTTATTATTACTTTTGTCTAGCACTCCATATTACTGGTACTCATATTGTATTAATTTCTATGCTTGGCCGACTTAGGAGATTTTTGTAACCAAGCATATATGCTGATTCCTTAAGTTTCCATATTTTCCAGTGATGTTCTCTATTATTTCAACCTCATCCTACATGGTGCAGTGATCTCCCTTTTCACTCCATATGATTTTTCTATTTCCTCGGGCTTTACAATGTTCTTGCAGTCTTACCTTAAGGAGGTGACTTGTTTCTCATTTATATTTCTTACTACAGCTGCATGGGATGATGTGCAGACAGTTCTTAGTCATGTTCTCCTCTATGAGGAGAGGGAGTCTTACTCAGAAGAGGTGTCTGCAAAGTTATATGGACTGAAGATCTTTTGTATTTTTCTGATAATCCCTTCACATAGGGTAGGCAGACCAAAGCTGTTTTCTGAGTGTTGATATCCTCTTGTACTCTTCTATCCTAGTTTGTCAGAACTGCTGCACAGAGTAGTTGTTACGTTGTAGGGTCCTTCATATACTGACCACCTCTTGTTCTTGTGTCTCTGGGTCACTACATGACTTTTGCTCGATGTTGTAAACAGCAGACAATCCCTTTCTTTACATTGTATGGGCGGTAGGAGTTGAAGTTGAGATATTGTCTGGTGAATATTGGCTTGCAGTATACAGATGTCTTGAACCCATGCTCTGTTTGAGATATTAACACATCCAGAAATGCTAGTTTGTTGTTGTTGTCGTTTTCTCTATCCATTGTGTAGACTGCAAGAACATTGTAAAGCCACCGATTCATTAACTTTATAAATCCTAAAAATCCATACACTGACGTCCCCAAGGACACATGGCCTAGTGGATAAAAGTTGGTTGGATCCAGTGACTTGACTCAAAGATACCTGACTACTGCAGTGGTAAACAAAAACTTGGAAAGTTGAGATAACAGGAGATAATGGACATATCCTGAAGAGGCATGGCACATGGAACTAGAACAATCTACACCAGTGGACAAAATAAAAGGTTCAGCTTGAAATTCTATTCACCCAAAGAAGGCTGGAGCAAACAATGTCCGAAACATGAACATGCCAACAAAGATGAGGACAACAGTTTAAACAATGTAAATAGTGTAAATAATTTTCTTTGTCCATCATATTCAGTGAAATATATACATGTGTACGTAATATATATATATATATATATATATATATATATATATATATATATATATATATATATATGTCCTCAATACATTTTTTAATAATAGCCAGAGAATGTTTAATTCATTTAGGTCAACAAATCAACTTTGACATTTATTTTTAAATTTCACCAGTGAGTTTGCCTGCCTATATATATATATATATATATATATATATATATATATATATATATATATATATATATATATATATGTGTGTGTGTGTTTCTGAAATAAAGATTTTAACATAACTAATCATGAAGAAAGATGTGACTTAAAATCAAAGAGAAATGGATGTTCTTGGGAGTGCTAAATTTATTATCAATGATGGGAACAAGTGGCTGAACTTTTCAATAAGCAAAGACTTACCAAATTTCGTCAAGTGACATTGCACCCAGAGTTTCCTGACCTTCTTTCATGTCCATATCTTCATGTAACATTTGAAGGACACAGTATTTTGTGTTAGCATAGTGACTATCATATAAAACCGCCTGAAAACAAGATCAAAATACATTTCAGGTTTCCTTAGAAACATTGGATTCTTTACTTCATTTACTAAAATGTTGCAAAAAGAAAACCAAAAACTTACACTACCTTTAAAATAAGCTATCCATCCCCCTTTAAAAATATTATGACATCTCAAATTGTGGGTAAGCGTTAACAAGGTTATTCTGGTTGACTATTATGACTGAACTAGAGTAGAGAGTTTGATCTTCACAAGAAGGTACATTGGATTGCAGGTAATGGTTAGTAAAGATAGTCTGATTAGCCATTACTATAGATTGGTTTGGTTTGTTTTACGGCATATCAACCACAATGGGTTATTTAATGCTGACAAAATTTTTTTTTGCTGGTAATATTTTTATCTATCTATTTCAGTATATATTGATTTGATTTATTTTATGGCATATCAATCTCAATGGGTTATTTAATGCCGATAAGATTTTTATTGCTGGTAATATTTTTTATCTATCTCTCTCAGTATATATTGATTTGGTTTGTTTTTTTTTATGGCATATCAACCTCAATAGATTATCTATAGCTGGTAATATTTTTTTCAAAGAATGTATAGCTTTTTGTATTGATGGTATTTTTTTTTTTTAGTATTGCTGATAATTTTTCCTTCAAAAATTATTGCTCATAATAATTTTTTTTTTACAAAGTATTTCTGGTATTAAAACCCATTTTTACACAAGTTTGGGTGTTAACTATTTGCCCATAGCTGGCACCCTAACAGGTGCTACCACCCTGGTTCAGGGTGGACCTGGGAACACCAGCAATTAAGAGGTGGTTTCACGCTTCTCAAAACCTCCTGATCAGAGGCTTTGCTGTTGGATGTAGTTTATTGTCTTACCCAGGATGCGCCATTACTATAGAGTAGGGATTTTTATCCTCACTGGGAGACATCTTGGATTGGGGTTAATGTTTAGAAAGGCTAGTTTGATTGACTATTACTGTAGAGTAGGGACCTTTAGGGAGTTTGATCCTTACTGATCTTACATTAATTTCTAAATGTATCAAAGAGGCAATATCCTTGCTGCAATCACTTGAGCAAACACCGAACCAGATAGGTCTCTATTGCACCATGAGTAAGACAAAATTTATCACAACCTCCCCTGAACCATCCGAGTTGAAGTCACTCAATAATACATCCATCAAAAGAGTTGAGGACTTCAAATATCTTGGATCTCACATAATAGATTCCTAAAAAGACTTCAACATCCACAAAGAAATGCATGTAACAAACTTCACAAGATTTGGCACTCGAATCTTCCAGCCTTCTTAAAAGTCCAAACCTTTCAAACATTGACTGAACCAATCCTACTCTATGGATCAGAACCTTGGACATTATCTGTTCATCTTGAAAGAGGACTGGATGGAACATATACAAATCTACTTAGAAAAATTCAGAACATCAATTGGGGATCTCATGCAACACTTAACAGAATTTACACTGCCACTGAGCAGGCAGGGCAATCGTCTCATCCTTACTCCAATGGCATCCTTCTGAAAATGTCTTCTCACGAAAATTGACTTTCTCAGACACCATAGATTGGGATTAAGAGTTGGACATTGAGAATCTGGGGACAGCAATACAGGACCGAATAGTGGGGAAAGGGATTGTTAATGGAGTTCCAAGCAACCATAGGGAGGTTGAAGGATGACGATGATGTGAAAGGCTAGTCTGATTGGCCATTACTATAGAGTAGGGACCTTTAGGGAGTTTGATACTTACTGGGTTCCCTATACAAAAGTTGACATTAAACCAATGATGTTGGACATGTAAAATCAATGAACTATTAAATGATTTAAAAGCATTGATACATTTTCAATAGTTCTTTTTGCTCAACTATTTTATTTCATTTATAAGACACTGAATTTATTCTTAAGCCTAATTAATCACTAATTTCAAAGAGAATATTTTAAAAACTGCATTTACTAAGTCTAACTGAGTATGGAAGTGCTCAAGGGGTGAATAGGAGGGATGTGCAGTACTAATCTTCCGAGTGAAAGGACCTGCTTACCTTGAAAATCAGTATCCATAATCCTGGCATTTAAGCGAGCTTGAACACTGTCTGGTGACAAAGGTATAACAGTCTCAGCCACCAAGCAGGTCATTCTACTGCCATATTTCTAGCTATTGTTCATCGACTTCAGGATTAGCTTTCCAAATGACATAGCTTTTTCATTTTTTCCTTTTAATAAAATTTTTTGTTATATCTCCATTGTTTGTGGTTGCAATTTATTAACAGAAATCTTTGAAAAGTTTCTAAACCCTTTTGTGTAATTTCAGGTCGGATAAGAAGCTGACAAGCATAATATTCAGTTTGTTTACTTTTTTAAAAGCACATATTATGATTTATCATGTAATGCTTAACAAAGTTGTTTAGATTAAAATATATTGTGAAAAAAAAACCTGGGCATAAATTAATATTTAAATAATATTCAATGGCAGCACTCTTGAAAATTTTCCTTCTGAGTGAATTATTTTCTTTTTTATGTGTAGCATTTATAAAAATCAAAATTGTGGTTGAATTTATTTCTATATATGACTAGTGCATTTGTTAAATTGTTATTTATGAAGTCTCTTTTGTGCTCATAGATGTATTATGAGGAACAGTTTTCGCAATTTATTTTATATATGCCTGATTCAGAAATATCATTGCTATTATTGTTTGAGAATCTGATTATATCCATAATGGTTTTGGAATAACCGATCCCATCTAAATAATATCAAAATAATCACAAACACTTCCAAAATAAAAATTTCAATGCTGCATAAGCAGTAAAAACGAAGAGTTGAAATATTTTGAATTTAAAGAAACACATATACATAATCACAGACAACTTAACCTCCCGAAGATGCTCTCAGATGAGATTTTAAGTATTTGGGAAAATAAAAACTATTTGAAAGAAAATTTTGGTAGTTTTCTTAATCAATTTTCTAAGGATACCAAGACATTAATCCACAAACTTGAAAGGATCACAACAAAAACTAAATGACATGATATGTCTAAATTATTTAACCAAACCTGTTTGAAATTTTTTTATATATATATATATATATATATATATATATATATATATATATATATATATGTATGTGTGTGTGTATATATATATATATATATATATATATATATATATATATATATATATATATACACCTCTCACCAACGGACTAATAGAAGGAGGGTAGTCAGTTAAAGCCGATTGTAGAAGAGAAGAGATTATTTTGGAGTTATAAAAACCATAAAATCACTATAGTAACTACCAGTAATTATGATTAAAATTAACTACTATAAACAATATATAATTACTTATTATAGATATATTAATCAAAATAACAAAAATAATAGATTTCTCACAGCTACTTTTCACTCATGCACTAATGTATCATACTTTATATACTGTACACCCATGTTTGTTTACAATTGAAAGGCCAGCCACTGCCACCAAGTGGTCACTTTGAGAACTAATAGGATTCATTCTGCTAAGCCCGCAAATTTTGAAATATGATTTTGGAATTTTTTTTTGCCTGCAGATTTTTTATTTTTTTTTATTTTGCCTGCAGATTTTGTCCATTGCATCCAAAGTCTGTTGATAGAGGTCCATAGATGAAAGGTGTGTGCACATTATATATATATATATATATATATATATATATATATATATATATATATATATATATATATATATATAAATTGTTCTTACTTACATATTTGATATAATCTCTGACAACATCTGGAAGTTGAAGAGGACCATCTTTTCTAAAGACAGAACAATTCCATTGTGCTGCACGAGCAATCATGACTGATGTCACCCCACAGTCTTGGCAAAATGCATCAATATCTTTCATGGTGTGAAACTCTTTGGAGCCACCACTTAAAAATAAATATATTAAGAAAAGATCAACAATTTTATCAGAATGAAAGTGAAAGTAAATTCTGAAAATTTAAATTATCATAAAAAGTTATCCTGAAAACTAAATAATGCATCAATTATAATAAGTTTCTACCAAGTTACAAATGTGTAATATTTTAAAAAGTCATTTCCAAGATTATTTTTCTAGAGTTTTTATCATAAATGACAAACTAAAAAAATGCTGATCAAAATTTAAACTTTCTAAAAAAGTAATTCATAAGATTCAAACCAATTCTGGTTTCTCCATTTTATTTTGGATCTTGCTTTTCTACATTTAAACAGGTTTTCATAACAAAGTTCCCCAACCTGGGTGATATCACCCACCAGTGGGTGATTTCAACTGTTGTGTGGCAATATAGGATTTTGAGTATTAAAAATGTATTTCAACATATGCTACTTGAAAAAACATTCAAAGGAGTTATGGAAAGAACCTATATAAAAACACAAAACAAAACAAAAAACAGGACACTAAATGGAAATAACTGGATTACCTTAGATCAGGTATAAATATCCCTTTGGTATTTTCTATAGTTTTGAGAAAGATCATTAACATTAAAATAATTCTTCGGACAAAATAATTTTTTTTTCATATAAAAATTAGATAAAGAAAGATCAAGAAGAACAAATTGCTAGTAGTGTATATTCTTTTTAATTTCATAATTATGAACAAAAATAGTTTAATTTTTTTGTCAACACTTGCAACCATAAAACACACACACACACATATATATATGATTAAATCCTAAGCAGCCAGGAAAACCTACCTAGGTTTCACCTAAACAGATCTTCAGGGTAAACTGAACCTTCAAGGTAAGCCAGTTTACCCTGAAGATCCATTTAGGTGAAACCTAGGTAGGTTTGCCTGGCTCCTTAGGATTTATTCTATTGAGCGCTCTATGTTTTAGTCTTTCTACTCATTTGTTTTCTTTTTTCTTTGGACTAAGGACTTAAATCATTTGCTAATTTGTTTCGTTTTGTTCTGATGTTTTTAGTTTTTTCTTTTTTATTTCCAATTTTTTCCTCAGTTACCGATTTGTCCTGACATGTCTGCAAGTTGAGTCATCCAAGGTTTACCAAATGAGTACTACTATATATATATATATATATATATATATATATTTATTTTCAAGTGTGTTTGGTTGAACATGTTATGTCTAATTTATTTTTATTTTGTTGGACATGTTATGTCTAATTTATTTTTATTTTAATCCTCTCGAATTCTTTGAATGACTTAACCTAACTAACCTTAGTCTTGGTTGTTTGCTCCTTATATGAAGGTCTCAAGAATTTAAAGTTTTTGTTTTTTATTTTCATGGTGGAGTATACTTGCGTTATAAACTAGTATTTTTCTGAATTGCGAAGGTAGATAGGAATGCGTCTTTAAATGTTGTGCAATAGAGCTTGTATCTGACATATGCAGTGTAAACCATCTTGATAATGTTGTTGTGAAGCCAAAATATATATTAAAAGGACACTTAAATTGATATAGAATGTTGGTCTTTTGTAAAACACCAGTTGACGGAGAAGACTTTTTGCAGATGTATCTTGGTTTGAAGTCACCAATTATTTAGTGAAGTTTTAAGTTTTCCTGTTCTACTTTGTTGGCTGTGATCAGTTTAGTCATTTTTAAACTCAGTTGGGTCATTAGGATTTTTGCAGACTTTTCTAAATTTTGTATGATTATCAAGTATTTGTTGTAATTTTGAATTATAATCAGATTTAATATATCATAGCCCTTTGTTACTCCATCCACGTGATCAAAGGTAGACGTCATATATCTTCATTAACTTGACCTTTTCTTCATTTTGTTGCCCCACTCCCTTCAATTTAATATAGTATGTCTATTTAGATTTTTTAATAAACCTAATATCTTATTAGTTGTTTCAGTATTACGAAGTTAGTCTGAATACATTTCAGGAACATTTTGATACTTTTTGTACTTCATAGCAACTTTGGATTTATTTCCTTTTGATTTTAAAGTGCAAGCCAGTTTATGTTGTTATACACCTTCGTCTTATATGCTCACGGTTTTTTGCCACTTGCGGATGAGGCAATGATGGAAGACTGTACAGTGGTTCAGGATAAGTCAATACAGGTTCTGTATTTTTTTGTTTGCCAACTGGACACTAGTTGAACTTTCCTATCCATTCTTATTTTTGGTACTCTTGCCCTTTATTACTTCCATCTACCACAGACTCTTATCCTGACCTAAATAACTTCCGGCTACCAGGGACCCTTATCTTTCGGCATTTCAGGCTTTTATTACTTCCAGCTACCATGGGTCCTTATCTTCCGCTAATCCTGACCTAAATTACTTCCAGCTACCATTGACCCTTATCTTTCGGTATACTTGGCCTTCATTACTCCCAGCACTTACTTTAACCTACTCATCTGGTTGATTGGTGTTAATGGACCTGCTTATAACAAGCCCTGAACTTCCAGCTACGCTTATGTCCCTGCTTCCAACTTTCCTGTCAAACTAACTCAACTCGTTTAGGAAATTGCTGCATGCATATCGTCCAGGCTAAAACAACCCCTACTCCAAATAATGTAGTTAGAATATTGTGGAAGGATCACCACTAGACTTAACCAGCAACTATGCAATGCCAGAATTGGACAAAAAATTGAACTTTCTTCTCTCTAGCTTTATCATTCAGACTTCAAATAACCTACTCTATACACTTTGATTAAAATACTATGGAAGGTTTATTATTTGACTTAACCAGTAACTTTTCAACACTTTTACCAGACATGTGAACTGAACTTTCAAACTGTGGACTTACATACCAACTTAACTTACATGGACTCTATTTTTAACATTTAATCACAGTTATATCTCGATCTTCTAGTCAGTCAGTATCCTTTCATTTACTTAATTCAGCCTTCCTTTACTTGATTCATTGTTCAGGTTCCTTTAATCCAAACACATACTTTTGTAGATGATATAAATAAATTTTGTATTAATTTTAAGTTTGTCGTTTGTTGTCCTCTTGTTGACCTGTCAGATGCATGCTTTTCTTTTTAAAATGTTAGTGGGCCTCTTGTGACTCATACTTATTTGGGTGCACAGGCCATATTATATTGTACCCACTCCAGGGGGTCCACTACAAATACGACAAAGATATTGTTTTTATCTGCTTTTTTTTTAAAGTTATATGAGTATGGTTATATAGTTCCTTGGCAGCAATTTTTAATTGTTTTGTTACGAGTTTGAAAGAGTTTTTTCTTTTGCCTTGTCTGTCTTTTATTGCTTCAGCTTTGAGCAGATCATGAATTTCTGGTTTTGTTTTTATTAATTGTTGTTCTTTAAGTTTTTATGTTTTAATATAACATTTCAATTTCAGTTTTTTCTTTTTCAATCCAATCTATTGTATTGTTTGTAAAGATGACAGGTCCAAGATTGAGTAATTTCTTTTGGTGATCTGTTAGTTTATAGTTATAGATGTTAATGAATTTATCTTTATTATTTGGGAGATGAAGTCGATTAGAGAATTTAAGAGGATTAAAATAAAAGTAGACATATGTCCAGATTATTCAACCAAACATGCTTGAATAAAGATATGCTGCCTAAATATATAGTTTTCAGTAGTTTGCTTTTGTTTGTTAGTTGATACGATAATAGTAACTATTGTCACCACATAATTTTATTATTTGTTACCTTTCTTTGGTATTTTTTTTTCTACATCATAAAGTCAGTTTATGCATTAGTAACAAACTTTTACCAAACAATTTTAGTATGCTTTTGAATATTTACTATACAGATGGGCAGTGGAAAATTTCTCCCATGTGAAAGTGGTTGATGACACAAAAAAGCTTGGGAACCTCTGCTTTATGGCAGTGATGAAAACACACACACACACACAGAGGCTTGTGAAATATATTTTACTTTTCATCTTCACTGTTAAATTACAGTATATGACAAAAAGAAGAGGAGGCTGAGTGTTGCTGAAAAATGTTCATTGATAACTAGGAGAGGGTCATTTACAAACATTTTTTTTTTTAATCCAACAACCCTTCAGAAAATAAGTGATCAAGGTGGTATACTGATTCCAATTTATTTATTTGTGATGTCTTGGAAAAGATAGTGGAATGGTTTCTGTTATATTCTGTGCTAATAGGAATATGGACTAGACAAACAGTGGATAAATAGTAACAGGTTTATTGTAGAAACCAGTACAACAAGCAAAGAAGTAATAGTTATGTGCACGGTTGTTGCAAGTCAGTACAGTTGTGTGTGTGCTGCTATCGGAAAGCTGCTAGTTCTCGCAGATTCCAGCTAAACTCTTCTGTCCACTGTCCTAACAGATACTTATAGGTGGTTACTACCTATAGTGCCGCCACTCATGGGGTTAGCAGATTATTCCATTACATCAGTTTCCCATTGCCTTATCCAGTTTTGAATTCAGTGTTGTCCTCCTAGACTGGAGTCCAGTCCAAGCTGCTATTTAACCAATTTTGGTGGGAAGAAAGAGATCAATTCATGCCTTTCATAAGAGCATTTGTGTGAAAGTAAACACAACACCCTAGACCAGAATTTGAACTCAGCTCACAGATTTCACTTTTTGTGATAACTGCATATCCTTTGAGGTCTTTAAAAGTTCATATATTCAAGGAATCAAAATATTAGTTTAAAAAAAACAAAAACAAAAAACATTCTACTCACTTGGCTATTACTGGTATGTTGACCGTGTTAGCTATTTCTCTGATGAAATGGTTACGATTTGGATGTCTTGGCCGTTCATACTGAGTTCGTGCATGGACAGCGATTGCAGACACCCCAGTGCTCTCTATTACCTTGACAAGGTTCAATGTATCTTGCAACTACATAAGAACAAATAGAAAAATGGTAACTTTGAAGATCAATTATCCAAATTTAACAATACAAACATTAAATAATTGTAAATATTAATTTACCTGGACTTTTATCCTAATTTTTAAATTTGGAAAAAAAAAAAAAAAAAAAAAAATACAAAATGAAACATGGAAAATCAAATCGAACTAAAATGAAAAACAAAATGAATGTCAAATATACTTTCTTTGTACAATTTTTCACCCAATATAAGACCCAAGAGCCAATCAATGTAGAGGTTTACTGAATGAGGTTGTTTTTATGGATATATAGGTGAAAGGTATAAGAAATGTGGATATTTAGGATAGATAACAGGTGACCCTGGACAAGAAGAGATTAAGATTGTAGCAATCAGGGAAGCATGCTCTCGGGAGTCTATTCCACAAAGTAATGGCTCTTGGGAAGAAGCTGACTGAATGGAACTTCCTCTTTACCAATGGAATATGAAGTGAATAAATATGGTTCATCCCTGTGTAGCTCATCATAACATCTTCAATGAAAATAGAGACAGAGTAGTAAGAGGCTTGGGAAGTTATGTCTGTGGGAAAGGGATTGTAGTGTGGAAAATTATTCATCACCCACAAGGCCGTGTAAATGCCTTTGAACTCTGTCAAAGCTGAAAAGAGAATATTGGGTAACCTCAGTTCAGATATGGCAGTAATTCTCAATTTTTGTTTTGGTTTTTGTTTTATGGCATATCAATACCTCAATGGGTTATTTAATGCCAACAAGATTTTCATTGCTGGTAAAATTTTTTTGTTGCTATTTCAAAAAAAAGTATTGCTGGTATTCAAACCTATTTTTATACTCTCATAGTATTTGACCCCCTTTTTTATGGGGGGGGGGGAATTATTTGCCCATAGCTGGGACCCTGACAGATGCTCCCACCCAGGGTCAGGGTGGACCTGGGAACACTGGCAAAACCTCAAAACCTTCTGATCAAAGGCCTTGCTGTCGGATGTAGTTTATTGTCTTACCTAGGATGGCTTAATTTTTGGTTTGTTTTAACTCTTGTAAAGAGAACATGGTAGGTGGAATTGGGTACTTTCTGCAGTAGTAATAAAAAGCCAAGCATTTTTCCAGTGATGGATCATATATACGAGTTCCACTTGAGGTCTGGGGTGAATATAGACCCTCAAAAGAAAGAGCCTCTTTGAGAATGCAACCATTCATTGTGACTGGTGAGAATTCAGCCCAATGATGATGAAAAGTTACTTTTACTCATGTTTTTTGAGGCATTGGAAATTACAAGTTAGTTTTGAACTGTTAGAGCTAGATCAGATGAGAGATCAGCTTCCAGGCTCTGATCATCTCAATTTTTTTCTTTGTAGAATATTAATAAATATTAAATACATTTCAAATATATGATTTACATCAAGTTTAATAGTGTATCATTTACTGTTTTTTTTTAACATTTCAGCCCAGGTAAGGTAATAAAGCCACTAAGATGCAAGAGGTTACTGAGTGTTAGAGAAAAGGAAAAAATGCTATTAATGAGAAAGAACAATAAAAGATCAAAAATTAAAAAGATAGAAGATAACTGTTGACATTGCCTTTAAATTTTTGAAGATCAAAGTTGAATGGGAAGCAAGAAGAGAGTTCAACAAGTGAGAACACTATTTACATTATTCGGACTATTGTCCTCATCTTTGTTACTATATTTATTATGATGATTCGGCTGTTGTACACTCCAGCCTTCTTCAGGTGATTGGAATGTCAAACTGAACCCTTTATTTTGCTCACTGGGGTAGACTGTTCTAGTTCCGCGTACCATGTTTAATGGATGTCAGTTACCAGTTATCTCCTGTTAATTCCCCTCTCCAAGTTCTCCACAGTCTTAACCAGGTATTGAACTCACACTCTTTGGGTCCTATCACAGGATCTAACTAACACCTTTATCCACTGTGCCAGGTGTCCTTGAAACAAGTGAGAAGTGTGATAGAGGAAACTGTTAGCATAGAACTTACAGTTACATCTCACCATTTCAACTGTAAAATGATGAGACCTAGCTGCCAATCTAGTACTGCACTTAAATTCATAAAGTTTAGGTACCATCTTTTTAATGTATATATTTTTTTCTACTAAAATCTACCATTAAAGTTTTATTGCTTTCCGTTCAAAATAGTTGAACAAACACCATTAATGAACTGTGAAGTCTCAGCTCAACCAAATAAGTTGATAATTTTTATTTTTGGAACTAATTGTAATGGCGAATATATTATCCTGACTAATAACCATATGGAAGTTATTTAAGGCTAAACCTAATAATTGTGAACGTCTTTATTGAGTGCATAATTCAAAGCTGAAAGCATGAATTGAGATATTTGAAACTACTTACATCATTTAAGACGCGTATTTTGCAGGTCACAGGAATGGACAGATTGCTGACCAGAGTGGTGAGTATCTGGTAAAAAGAAATGAAGTCAATTGTGGGAAAAAAAAATGAATTTACATAAAATTCATAAGAAATAATTCAGAAAACATATTCCCTACATATATACTGGCATACAAAAGTTTTTGGCCAACCTACAAAAAAATGATTATACATCTTTATTTTATTAAGATTGTTTAGCAATGTAATTTTATCAATGTCTGTGGACCTTAAGGATTAAAAAATATGTTGTGTTTTTGTAGGTGCTGTGTAACAGAAGATATACTGCTTTAAGCAGCTTGAAGCTGAAAAAAAAAGCTATGCAAAACTATTTCATTGCTTTTCTTCAGCATTACTATGTAGAATTAATGAAAATGCAGTAACAGGTTTTCTGGCCCTCAAAGATCATAAAATGTACTAAGAAAAATCACTCTTGATTTAGGGGGGGGGGGTAAAATTTTAAAAAGTAATTAATTTACCAAAGTGACCCAAAAGTTTTGCATACCTATGCATGGTACATATTTGTGTAAAAATAGATTTTTCCATCTGTGGCATCAGTCATCCTCAAGAGACTATGGATCTTGACCTGTAAATTTTTTTTTATTTAATTGATAATTTTTATTTTTGGAACTAATTGTAATGGCGAATATATTATCCTGACTAATAACCATATGGAAGTTATTTAAGGCTAAACCTAATAATTGTGAACGTCTTTATTGAGTGCATAATTCAAAGCTGAAAGCATGAATTGAGATATTTGAAACTTCTTACATCATTTTTTATTTTGCAGGTCACAGGAATGGACAGATTGCTGACCAGAGTGGTTTTTGATTAATTGAGAACTGCCTTATAACCAGTAGATATTGCTTCTTTTTTTTTTTACTGTCATGGTGGAGGGATTCTGGAGTATCTTCTTCGGAGCATTGGCCTATATAATGTTTTATTTTTTTTAATAGGAGACCAACAGTTGCCCATACAGCAGGTCTTCCATCTTCATGTCAGCAATGTTGCCCAAGGAAAAGGTAGAGGCCAATACTGCTTGGTATTTGTCACATGAGTTGTCAGAATGAGGTTGGATGCAATGTTCAACTGCCTTTGGCACTGACTCCAGATTTACTTACTCTTGAAGCCTTTCCCATAATTGAGTATGGTTGCAAAGTAACAAATGCTTGAAATCAATTTTCTTTCTTTTTATCCTAGATTTCATCTACCCAATTTAAGCTTAGAGCACCTGGTTATTTCCAAGAGATCACCCATCTAAGTTTTGTCCTTAACTTCAGAGATTGGACAAGAACTGAAGTATTCAACATGGTATGGCCATAAGTTGTTGATTTTTAAAACAAAGAAAAAATATCTAAAATTAAATATTGATATCATTAGTTCCATGACTGGTATTCATTAATGCATTGTGTGTCTTGGCCAAGTTGACCTGGCAGAACCCATCCCTTCCCAGGTCAAACCACAGCCAATGCCTTCCAATTTGAAGGCTTTACATTGGTCATGGACACATGATCATTGATTCCATTGAGAGAACCCTCTATCCTGGCGACTTCTGCCTAGAAATCCCTCAACCCAGCAATGCCAAACTGGCTGCATCCATAGCTATGGAACCCAGTGTCCCTCATGGCTGTTGACCCCAAAAGAAATTTTATCTGCCAGGTTTTGTTTTTAATCCTGCTAGGTGTTTAGCCACCCTAATCACCAGAAAAAAACCTGATTTATTTGCCAATGACCCCACTCCTTGTGGCAAATGGTGTTGGTTACATAGTATCAGTAGGACACAGAGTGATCTGACCGGTTGAGTATTTCTAATTGAACATTGATTAGTTCCAGACACATTTTGCAGAGTTATTAACTTTTTCCATTAAATCTTAAATTTACCTGAGGAACAAATTTCTTAAGCCCTTGGAGCTCTTTGTGATATATATTTCTTTGGTTATGTGGATTATCCTGAGGAATTCTTAAGAAATTAATATCCAGGTAAAACTCCTCGTAGAGAGCTCAATGTATGAGAATAATAACAAAGCACTCTAGAGAAAGAGTAATTTTAAAAAAACAGTGGCTGCTATTAATGCATTTCTCTTCAGTAATGAATTGAGTGCTTGGTTTTTGTATATAATACATTAAAAATTTCCCTTTCTTTGCCGTGCACTGATAGCTTAGGGGTAAAATCTCTGACTGATGCCAAATTGGTTCAGTTTCAAACCCAGCTTGAAGCAATTGATGAACTGTGATACAGTGAAACAGGTTTGTATGTGGATGATAATGATATATATATATATATATATATATATATATATATATATATAAAATCTGGTACAACGTATAGGTTCTTATCTATAACTCATTAATGGTTTAATGGAATATCTAGCGTTCATTGCTTAAAAAGATTAAAGTCATTATTTTTCTCTGCTCAGAAGTCAATCATAAATCGTTTCTGAGAAATAAATGAATCAAATGGTCTGATGTTTGATTTTTAGATCATAAATAATTTTTTAATCTCCTTAACAACTAATGTTTAGGACAAAAAAACTTAAAAATCTTCCATACTAATCTGTTACGTAGTACAGAGAAGAAAGCTAGGAGAGAATAACCTTTTCTTAAGGCTTTACTGAACTTAATTCACAGCAGTCAGTAATCAACAAAGGAAAGAATTTAGAATGAAAAGGAAGAAGAACGCAGCTTTTAAAGAGGAATGGGAACGTGTGAAAAGTCACGTGGACAGTAAAGCTAGTTTCCTTCTTTTTTTTTTGTTTACGAAAATATAACATAATCATTCAAGAAATTTTGTTCATTTTTAAAATTCTCATGAGTATCATTCATTTTAAATGTTGTCCTTATAAAAATGAACCAATGGCAAGAGAAGTGAGTGTGCATAAGGTAGATTATTGGAATGAACTCTAATAAAAACATCTTCAATAAACAATGCAATTTATTAGAAACAATTAAAAAAAAAAAAAAAATTAGAATTCTGCATATTATTTAATTTGGATTTAACAATTTAAAATCTGAGCCCTGTTTAATGAAAACAAAAACTGGAATGTCCCAAAATATTTTCTCAATTTGATCACAGTAAAACTTCAATGCCACTTTCAAGTGAATTTTTGCATCAAAGAAATACACACCAAAATGAATTTTAGAAAGTAATCAAAAATAATGTTGAAAAATAAATAAAATTTTAAAATGAAGTAAAACAACAAACCTCTGATACTTTTTCAGGTTTTTTTAACAAAGCTGAACCCATTCCACCCTGAAAGAAAAAAAAAAATTTATACAGATTACTTACAGGGATTGGGCTGGTGAAATTTAAGATATATGAAAAGATTTGGGGTTCAAAAACCTGTTTTTTTGTAATAATTATATTTGGGCCTAAGAGTAGACACTGACTGCCCTTGCACTTGGGCCTACAGGTAGATGCTGTCCAGCCTCACACTTGAGTCTGCAAGCATCCAATTAGAAGATTACTTTAGGAAGAGTAGTCATATTCTTTTGCAGTCAGTGTATTCTCAGGTCCTGCTGAAAGGCTAAAGATTAGTTACATGAACAAAAAATTTGTTTAACAACCACAAATTTTTTTGTGAACCAACTATTTCAAAGTCTTTTCTAAACTGTAGAATTTCCTGTGGACCAACTACTCAAAGACTAACACAACTAAAGACTATTTTCATTCCTTTTTTACTCTTGAATTCATTTACAGATGTTTGTAAATACAAATGATTTATTTAACAGAAATAGTCACATTTTCTTTATTTTTATTTTATTATTGTTTGGAATTTAGACATTCAAATTTTTAATATAAAAAACAAACAAACCTGGACCAAATTTCCTACAACTCCATTGAAAATGGCATGGTGTTTCCAAGTTGTAAAGTTTTGAACTGGTAGAACTAGAGAATGGAGCATCTGTGGGAAATTGGCTACAGAATGAAGAATAATTCTCCCCTCACCCAATATTGCGTATATGTTTTGTGCATGGTCTGCCGAATAATATTAAAATAGCTTGTAAAAAAAAAAAAAAAAAAAAGCTTTAAACTTATTGTAGTAATTAATGCCTGCAATCAGTTTCTTCTATCTCCCGTCCATGACACTTGTAAGCCAATTCAACACAAAGTTTAATTGAAAACCTGTCTTAAGAGTCTAGCAGGCAATGTAGTAATAAAAAATGGGGTCAGAAATCCAACCATCACTTTGCAATGGCAAAAATGCTCTTTCACTCACAAAGCTTAAAAATTGTTCTCTCCAGTAAGCAAAAACCAATAGCCTTTATTCACCGAGCGATTTTTCTGATTGACCATGCCATTCAGGGAGGAAAGAACATTAGCATAATTTCTCTGATACAGCAGATTTTGTTGCTAACAATTTTGCTTTAATTTCCCTTCGGCAAACCACGCACAAAACACACACTCTTTTTCAAGGTAGGTGATTTTTTTTCTTTTGCTACAAACTATCAATGCTGGAAAGTGAGAACTGAACTGCTACAGACCAGATATGGCAGCCATACTCCATTAATGGTCTGATCTGAATCAAGTCTTGGCAGAAGGCATCAAGTACTTCCTGGAAAGACAGAATGAGCTGACCATTTTTCCAGCATCTTTAGCAACGGATTGCATCTATAAGAGTTTCACTTGAAGTCTGGCTTGCTCCAGAGACCCAATAGAAATTTAACCCTTTAGCATTCAACACGCTCAAACTCAAAGTCTCAATATTTGCATGACTTTGTGCATTATTTGTGGTGATGTCATCATATATTATAGCAAAGTATACATAAGGCAGCTTAACATTGAGAGCTGATATTTACAGAGTGGGGTTGAATGCCAAAGAGTTAAAGCATGGAGCCTCGTTGAGGGTGGAACTTTTTACTGTAACTGGAAAAAATACAGTCCAGGAACTTAATCGATATATTGAGCATATAAATTTTTCAAAAGTATGTAAGTAGCAATGATTTGTTGACAATACTCAACAAAGATTAGCAAGAATAGATGTTCAATCAATTGTTTGGCTAAACAAAAATTTATTGAAACTATAAGACATTAAAGTCAGGTGTATGACAATGTCTTTATGATATTACCTTAATGGAAAATTCCTTTGGGCAGCCCATATTGACATCAATAGCAGCAACATAGTTTTCACTGGAAATTCAAAAAACAAAAATACATTACAAAAAAAGTAAACATCTGTTGAGTATTAGTTGTTATCATTTAACTTCAATGAGAAATTATATATTTCAATTATTTTATATATATATATATATATATATATATATATATATATATATATATATATATATATGTATATTATATTAATATATTTATTATATATTATATTGATATTTATATTAATATTATATTTATAATATTGATATTATATTTATTATATATCTATATATTATATTGATATTATATTTATTATATATCTATATATTATATTGATATTATATTTATTATATATCTATATATTATATTGATATTATATTTATATTATATATTATATTTCAATGAGAAATTTATATTTATAATTGTAAAGCAACACCTTTATTATCATTTAATTTCAGAAATGAGTAATTACCAATATACTTGTATTTTCAAATTATTGTTCTCATATCAGCCAATCAATGAACACCTGATGATGACCAGAGTTACTTGGTCGAAATGTTGTGTCTATAATAACATCTATATCAACCAAGATGATATAATACTTTGAAATAATACAGTAATATTGACAATTATTCAGGTCAGAAATGAAATACTAAATTATGAAGTACTAATCTGCCATCATAGTCCCAAGCCATCTGACATTGAATATAAAAACCTCTCAAAACACTCCACTAACTTCAGGATGGTGGCATAGTGGATATAGCAGTTGATTATACATGTGTTACTGTTATCTGGTATTCATGAGTTCAAATTTTGGATCAGGTAGTGAAGCCTTGATTCAGCAGGAATGAACAATAATTGACATCACAAGGAAAAAATAACATAATCAACAGAAATTTCATATCAGCCAATCAATGGACACCTGATGATGACTGGAAGGTACTTGGTCGAAATGTTGTATCTCTAATAGCATCTATATCAACCAAGATGAGAACAACAGTTCAAAATAATACAAGTATAACACCTTTGGTGTATTCAAAATTTACTATAGATTCTATTATTATGGAAACATGAACAAATGTAGTTGGAGTTTTGAAAAAAATTTGGTTAGAAATTGTTATAAAATCATTTATCATTTCTTACAAATATAACTCTTTTTGTTATTGTTGTAACTTAGAAAAGGTTAGTGAATAAGGAATAACCAGAACGGAGGTTGGAAATGAAAATGGCAATCTTTATAACATCAACAAAATACAATACTTGCCAGCGGCATGAAGTAGGTAAACCACTGCTAATGGTGAACTACTTAGACAGCATATTACCCCACTTACAATAGTGGCCAATGTATTTATGAGGATTGGGACATACCCATTAGTATTCATAGGTACCGTATATAACAGTTATACATTTACTTTTTTTCTCTTGAGACACATTGATTTTTGAATTCTATAGAATAAATGTATCTTAACTTTTATCACCTCTTCCAGGGGTTCACAAAACTGTACACCACAGCACACTGGTGTTTTACAAGATGTAATTGTATGTGTTGTAAAAAAAATAAAAAAAATACCTACTTGAAATTATGTAAACAAGAATTGTTTTTGATATCCAATTACTACGGATTCTCAAATCAACCATGAAAAATTGTCTATGTATACATTTGGTTTGGTTTATTTTGTTTAACAGCATATCAACCTCAATAGATTATTTAATGCCAACAAGATTTTTAGGATAGATTCGTATGAATAGAATATGTATTCTTTGGTTTAGATTGGTTTGGTTTATTTTGTTTAACAGCATATCAACCTCAATAGATTATTTAATGCCGACAACATTTTTAGGATAGATTCGTATGAATAGAATATGTATTCTTTGGTTTAGATTGGTTTGGTTTATTTTGTTTAACAGCATATCAACCTCGATTGGTTATTTAATGCCGACAAATTTTTTATGTCGGTAATATTTTGTTTTGTTAAAAATCTGTTTCTGGTAATATATTTCCTTCAAAATTTTATTGCTGTTAATAATTTTTTTCAAAAAAGCATTACTGGTAATAGTTAACTATTTGCCCATAGCTTGGACCCTAACAGGTGCTACCACCCTGAGTCAGGGTGGACCTGAGAACACCAGCAATTAAGAGGTGGTTCCATGCTCCTCAAAACCTCCTGATCAGAGGCCTTGCTGCTGCACATAGTTTAATGTCTTACCGAGGACACAGATGTAGTTTAACGTCTTACCCAGGATGATATACATTTGGGAATTTTATCAGAGAAGAGCATCTTTTTTTCTTTTAATATGCTTAAATTACTATGAATATGAATGAAAATTGTTGTTTCAGCATGGTTTTGAATTCACAGTTTACTTCTTGTGGGCTGACCATCAGCCAAGACTAATAGTACAGTCTATTATTTATTGCATCGGCTTTGGAAAGACCAGGCAAAGCCATGCCTTTTGCAATAATATTAGTACAAAGTAAATGCAACAGATTGGCATGAAACTTGAAAATTGTAGATTCCAATTTTTGTGTCAATAACCATTATGTATATCCACTAAAATAACATTTAAAGTGATAAATTCTTACAAATATAATTCCTTTTGTTATACATTTACTTCTTTTCTCTTGAGAGACATTGATTTTTTTCTTTAATTCTATAGAATAAATGTATCTTTTCACTTTTATCATCTCATCCAGTGGTTCACAAAACTGTGCCTCATAGCACATTGGTTTTTCACAAGACACAGTTGCACGTGCTGTTAAAAATTAAAAAAAAAAAAATACTTATTTGAAATTATGTAAAGAAGAGAAATTGAACTTGATACCTAACGACCATGTATTTCAAATCAACTATAAAGAATTGTTGTCTATCCATAGGATTTTTATAAGAGGAGAGTATTGTTAAATAGTCCAAAAAGCTTTCACTAAATTGCTTCAGTTTTCCATTTTGCAAATTAAATATTTTCAAATGCAAAGTAAACTAATGTCTGTATAGTCAGAGTCCATTTCACGGATGGCCTAACAGGAAAATTTTTAAGAATTATCAAGGCCATGTTTCTTATCGACAACTAAATTTATGTAATAAAAATTGTTAATGAAATTCTGCAGTTTAAAGAATATTTTATAAGCTAAAATGTATAAATATATTTTATTTAAATATATTTTTGAATTTACACTCTAAATACACTAAAATATTTCTTACCCTATTTGTGGCTCACTGTCTTTCCCTATCTCTGTTGCCTTCAATATGCCCTGTGAGGTTTACGTTTTCCAAGCCCTCTTTCCTCATTATGTGTCCAAAGAATTTCAGCTGTCTTTTCCTGATTCTGAGTAGAAGTGATCTTTCTGTTGCCATTTTCTTTAAGATTTCCTTGTTGCTTACTCACTCCGTCCATGGAATTCTCAGTATCCTTCTGTAGAACCACATTTCTGCTGCCTTCATTTTGTGGGGGAGATCGTCCAGCATTCACTGCCATAGAAGAGGTGGATATTTTTAGCAACTGTTGACCCATTAAATCTGTTTATAAATCTTTGTTTCTCATCACCTTGCTTAGTTTTTGGAAGGCTTCTTTGGCTAGTCGAATGTGTGTTCGGATTTCATGGTTGCATTTTATATCCTTCCCAGATATTTAAACTTCTGTTCTTGCTTGATTTTGATATCGCCAATTTGCAACTCCTGATCACCAGACTTTTCGTCTTCTTACAGTTGATGGTTAGTCCTTTTTTCTCTCTTTCTTCTACTACCCCATCTAAGGGGTCCTGTAGTTTTCTTTGTGTCGGCCAGCAACACAATGTCATCTGTGTATCATATATTGTTAAGATCATGCCCACTTATAATAAACCTTGGTAGGGTCTCCAGTTCCCTTAGGAGAGTGTCACTGTATAGATTGAAATAATTTGGAGAGTAGACATCTTTGTCTCATGCCCCTTTTTATTTTTGTCTATTTACTGCAGAAATCCAACCATGTTTGAAAGAAATCCTCTGAATATCAAATCTGAGTCTGCAATTGACATGATTTGAATTCCTGTCAGCAACATAATCTTTCAGATAAAATATTTTATCTACACAATCTCTGGAGTGCAGATTTATGACAACAAAGTCTCTTCATTTGCAATAAATTTTAAAAATGCTTGCTGCATTCATACATATGACAAGGTCTTTCAAGTATAATGATTTAGGATAGGACTTGTTTATCTGCATCACAAGGTTAAGCATCATGGGAAGGAAATATTAGAAGGTTTAATAAATGAAGGTAGAAACCTTAGACATTAGATTTAATCTAGAAGAAATTAAAAGTGATTGATAGCTGTCCACTTTCAGTTACAGAACTAAAAGTGTGGATAATAAGCGAAAAAGATAACTTTGGCTACTTAGTTGGGAAGACGATCAAACTACTTTAAAATGAGTTTCATTTCTCTCCTCCGAATTATTTTAACAGATTTTGGTACCTTCTTTTGCCAAAGACAATAAATACATTTTTACAAATTTAAAAAAAAGATTAATATGTGCAACTTTAAAGTTATAAATTTTTAAAGTGCACACGAATTATATGGACACCCTGTATTCAAATGAGTGTAATGCTTGCTTCTAAGATAGACCATTTGATCATAAACAATTTTCATTAAGTTTTGCTGAAAGATGATTTTTACAAGTAAAAATTTGATGTGATTAATTCTTGTAACAGAGAATTGGGTCAGCTCGGTGGAGATGAATAGTGACAAAACTGAGGATGAAGTACCTCTCCTGCAAAGGAGCACCAGAAAGAAACACCCACCCCTTGCATGTTGGTGCTGTGATCAGGAGATCAGGGGTGGGTGTAACATAGAATCAGGTCAGCCCGATAAAAGACTGAGTTGGTTGTTTGTGGTGCTGTAAGCACCATGAGTTGTGTCCTTTTCCACAATGGGCTGTTGAGAGAAGACTTTAGGTGGTGGTGCCGACTATTTGCATATGGACGATACTGGAGAAGTATTAGCCAATAGTCAGCATGAATCTGGGACTGGGAGAGCTATATAACACCAGTTTTTTCTCAGTCGAGAGAAGTGCTCTCAATGTGCAGATAAAACAAAAACCAGACAAGATAAATATAATTTTAATAGAATCTTGATCTGCCCATAATAACTAAAATGTACTTTTTTACAATGTTTAGCCTTCATACATGCAAAAAACGATTTCCCCCCTTGACACTGCCCACTATTTTAACTACCCTCAACTCTTTAGCAATGAGTCATGATTAGAATTGTAATAAAACCTAAACATATGAAAGTGAATTCATACATTTTCTTTGTTCTTAAGAGCTGACAACAAAAATATTAAACACTTATTAGATTAGATTATTTAAAAGAATAATTTTATATTTATAACATTCTAAAAACTGATACAATCAGATTAAAACTAAAACAATATTTATTATTTACCAATTTATAAAGAAATATAAAAAAATTTTTATTTATAAATTTATAAACATTTACTAAATCATTAAATACGTGACCCAACTAACATGAAATCCTTCAATTGGTAACCATTCCAATAAAAAATTTAATAGTGTAAGTAAACAATCTAATAAATAAATAAATAGTGTTTAATATTTAATATTTGTATTATATTTTATTGTATTTGTGTTTATTTTATTGTATTTATTTTTATTGTATTTTATTTATTTCTTATTGTATTTTATTTATTTTTATTGTATTTATTTTATTTATTTTTATTGTATTTTAATATTGTAAATTCTCAAAAACAAAGAAAATCTATAAACTCACTTTCATTATGTTTAGGTTTTGTTAAAATTTTAATCATCACTTCAGAGAGACAGAAGAAGGATATGTTTATCTTTTTATACACTTTACACAGTTCCACCTAACAACATTTGGTGACACTAATTGAGATAAAGTCTTTGGTTCCAATGTTACTAGCATCATGGTAATTTTTTTTTATTATTAATTATTATGATTTCATTTGTTATTTTATTTAATTTTCTCCACAGTTTCTTGGTTTGGTTTGTCTTGTATTATGGCATATCAACCTCAATGGATTATTTAATGCCAACAAGATTTTTATTGCTCATAATGTTTTTTTCTAAAAATGAATTGCTGGTAATCATTTTTTTCTTCAAAATTCATTGCTGGTAATCATTTTTTACAAAAATGTATTGTTAGTATTAAAACTTATTTTTAAACTTTCATAGTGCTTTGACCCCAGTTTGGGGGTTAACTATTTGCCCATAGCTGAAACCGTAACAGGTGTTACAACTCCAGGTCAGAATGAACCTGGGAACACCAGCAATTGAGAGGTGGTTCCACACTACCCAAAACCTTCCTGTTCAGAGGCCTTGCTGTCGGATGTAGTTTATTGTCTTACCCAGGACACACAATTTCTTGGTCAGAAAGCCTAAAAGATTCCAGCTCAGAAGAGCTGTGGATCCAAGCAGTTACTAAGAATAACAAACATGCAAGCAAATAGAATAAAAATATAGTTGCTTACACTTTTTGAGCAGCAAGTAAAGATCGTTTAGCATCAGCAGTTCCCTGGAAAACACAATAATCAAGAATGACTATTAAGATACTAATAGTGATTGTTAGAAAAAGTAGATTTCTCTTTCTTTGATAAGAACTTGAAAAATATTAGATCAGAACCAGTTACATTCTTTTCAAAAATATTTTTTCTTTTATTTGTAAGAAAGAAAAAAAATATCGGATATTAATGTTGTGAATTTAAGTGTAACATTATTGTTTTTAAAGAAATTTTCAATCAGTCAATAATAATAAATTTCCAGATGCTTGAAAACCATCCAAAGAATTTGAAAGTGATATAAACTGACTCACCAACTGAAAAACAACTTTGTTTTTTTCCTTAGCACAAGTTCGAAACACAACAGTTTCATCAGAAAGAACAAAATCCACGGTTCCTAAAAGTTCTGAAATAAAAGACAGGAAGAGTACATTTCAGATGGTGATATGATCAGAATAAAGTACATAGCAAAGTACATGTGGCTATCTATAATAAATATCTATAAACCAGATGAAGTAAATTTAATTTGGAGAGATTTTACAAGTTTAGGAATTTCAAAAATTAAACATTACAGTTTCTCTTTTTTTTTTCATATTGTTTCAGAGAATTGTGTATAAATTCCTTCCTAATGATAAAACAGAACACATGGTTATTTCAGCTGCCATTCCTCTTCACAGTCTTTTACTGCTTCCTTTATTCTAGAAGAGAGGAATTTAAAAATAAAGGAATTTGAGTATCAATTGATTTGGTTTTTATGGTATTTAAAACTGAAAAATGTTGGATTGGAAGAATAATGTTTTTTTTACAAATGAATATTGCATTAATAATGATTTTTCGGGTAAAAGTCTATTTAGAAAAAAAAATTCTTACAATTAAAAAGATATTTTCTGGCTTTAAATAACCTGCAAAGGGTTGATAAGCCCTAAAAAATGAATGAATCAATCAATCACTGAAATACTGATTATCTACACAGACATGTCTTTTAGATTTATTTTCATTCTCTGTAATATAAATGTATAGAAACTATAGTGGCCATAAAATGAGGGTTCAGTTGATTCCCCACTTTATATTCACATTATAATTTCTTGTTTGTTTATCAAATTCTAATTAGGCATGAATCCACCTCTTCTCACCCAGCTATGGGTTAATTAGTAAGACTTGTATTACTAAACCATTATTATCTAAAAAAAAAAAAAAAAATCTTAGAATCTAAAAATATTTTATGGCTTTAAATAACCTACAAAGAGTTGATAAGCCATACAAAATGAATCAATCAATGACATGTGCTTGTTACATTTAATGTAAGCACACACACAATCTGACAGAGTTTAAAATAATACATTACTTTCCCATTCAGTCTAGACAGACCCAACCCTGGGCTAAACAATAAAATAAGTTTTCAATCAGCATAAAAATAAACCTGGTCATACAACACAGGACACTGCAGAAGTATTCCACATATCTTATATGAGCATTGTAAGATATTTTAAAACACTTTGACAAGTGAATCACTACAATTTGTGCATCAGCACAATTTAACGGGAAAAAAATGTTAATAGCATTTCCATCTGTGATTCTCTGCTCAAACAGAACAAAATAACCCTTTTCTGAAAAGAATGATAACAGGTGATAAAAAATAGATTGTTTACAACAATGCAGAATGAAAAAGGTTTTAAGAAAAATGAAATGAGCCACTATTAACTACCCTAAAAGCGAGTCTGTATCCAAAGGAGGTGGTGGTGTGTATCTGGTTGGACTGGAAAGGCATTCGTTATTATGAGCACCTTTAAAAAAATCAGCCATTGAATTCAAACAAGTACTGTTCTTACTGAACTGAGGAAAGGCAACAATCAATGAATAGCATAAGACCATGTGTTCCTTAATTTACCCAGCAGTAATAGAGCTTGATTGAGATGTCCGACTACACCTGCCATACTCCCCTGATCTTGCATCTTCAGATTACAACTTATTTCAATCCTTACAAAATTATCCTAATGGGAAGAACTTCAATTTTCTGGAAGCCTGTAAAAGCTAGTTCCTCACTTGGAAAGATGCCAAGTTCTGGGAGAATGGAATCATGAAGCTACCTCAGAGATGGTGAAAGGTATGGTACATATCTGATTGAATAAATCTATGTAAAAATATATTCTTTAAAATTCACTTAAAAAACACTAAGCCTTTTGGTTCTGACCCAATAAATAGAAGGTGGATGCTGAAAAGATCTATCTGGCCAAATTCCCTAAAATCTGAACAGGTGACTGCAGTGTTGTAAACAGGAAAGGTTGACACACATATAAAAAGTAAGTAGTAGTTTATTCTGGAGGTACACAGTTGAGAACACAGACTAATGTAATAAACAGTTAATTGTTAACTTGTCAGTATTTACCCAAGACCTCCCTACAAGGCGGGATGTGACACTGGTTTTTAACGTGAGGCTTTCTGAGTATGTACACCCAGGCAAAAATTCCCCATAGACCCTGTATATATGGGGTCAGGTGGCTGTCGACCTCCCCAGATAAGACTGCCTGCAGACATAGCCTTGTCAGAGTTCCTCTCCACCTGAAGACAGAGGCGACAAGCAGAGTAACAATTAATTGTTAACTCTTTTCCCTCAGTAACAGAAAGTGCTGTTTAAATAATCTTAGACCAGTATATCTTGTGGAGGTGTTCAGTTACTTCACAACAGTGACCAAACATCAGATTTATTTTTGGAAGGGCTTTGGGCCAAGAACTTTTCAAAACTCTTTCATACTGTCCTATCTACCTACTTTCTGAGATATGTGACAAGCTACATAATTAAAGCTTCACCTGCTTTAAAAAGATCAAAGGGGTAAAGGAGTGCTAAGATACAAAACAACAAACCTATTTTTTTCTATTGTTGCTATCGCTTCCTCTTACCATATTTTTAGTTACCAATTTTCATTTTCTTCTAGCTTTCTTACTTGCCTTTTACATTTCCTTAACTTTTTTCTCTACTTCATCCTCACCCTTGCCTTACCCAGTTCTGAGGAAATCAATAGATAGCCATATATGTCTGGTTGAATAAGTTACACAGATTGTGTCTGCTTATTTTGATCATAATCCTTTCATATTCATGAATAGTTTCCATATTAAATGAGGCAAGAAATTCACAGTAACAGTGAGAGTCACTTTTATTTCCCCAAGTACTTTCCATCTCTTTCTGAGATCATCAGAGATGCAATTGGTAATGCAAGGCAAAACTATGCGCAGCTATCCATTACTGAAATTTTTCTTTTGCATTTAAATGCTATGGCTGACAGTTATGCTTCAGCATTCATCCGACCATTAAATTCAAACAAAAGAAAAAATTCTATAATGGATAACTATTCATGTTATGTTTTCCTTCCAATATTGTTCTTGATATATAAGAGAACATTGAAGTCAACACTTAGAGGCGACCGGCTGTTTCATGCTAGATGCAATCATCAGGCCTGACAATTGTGTCTAGCATGAAACAGCCTGTTGCCTCTAGGTGTTGACTTCAATGTTCACTTATATATTTACACACACTATCTCTGATATGGAGCACAGCACTTTATCCCATAAATATAGCACACCTTAAGACTATATATATATATATATATATAAAATTAAATAAACTAAGGGTAAAAAGAATAATTATATGAAAAAAAAAATTTTTTTTTAAATTAATCAAATAATAAAAAAAAATAAAAAACTACTCACCATTTTCAATTTTTTTTGCATTTATTATTTTGAAATCTATTATTTCCTGAAGAAAGAAAAAAATACTTAATGAATTATTTTGGCTATTGACTCTGCTGAAATCAATAATTTGTGAATTCATTTCTTTAAATTTCACGAACTCTTAGGAACATTTCAAGATTATTTGTTTTATTTCAGCAAGCAGAAGAAAAGCATTCAACAGAATCACACAAATTGTTTTCAAACAATTTTAAATATTTGTTGGCCTTTTTTTTCTAACATATTTTTTGAATATTACTCTAAAGTAAATTTTTCACTAATCAAGTAGCAATTATTTTCTAACTGAAAATCATAAAGATGAGCTTTTCAGCCACTAGCATTTCATAATGACCATCTCAAACTATTAGAGAAATCAAGCAAACCTTACAGCCATAAACCAAAAAAGAAAGCATTTTGCAGTGCATGGTATTTATAAAAATAATTGTCTCAATATTTGTGAAAAACCAGAAAAAACCTCTTAAGTAAGGTTGCTTTATTAATATTTTTAAGTTGTATTATATATTGGCCTATGTTGGGTCAGTCACATATCAAGTGTGAAAGATGAATTATAAATAGTGTTCCAATAACTTGGACCAATTTTAAACTTAATTCAATTTAAAATTGGTCCAAGTTATCGGAACAACCTTTATACAATGCAAAACCTTAGGTTTATTGGATTGGAAGATTTAGAAGTATTCCAAGAAGTCTTGGGATGGTTTTCAAAAAAAAAAAAAAAAAAAAAAAAACTGTTATCATCTTGAACTCTGACAAATTTTTTAAACTTTAAATAATACTGTAAAAAAATTGTGCAAGGAAAGAAAATATTTTAAAATAATTTAAAGTCTTGAGTTGTAATTTGCAGTAAAGATCAGGAATGCATAAATAACAATATCTGTCAATGTGACATGAATTTAGTTTTGTAAAGACATCAACATCACAAAAATTCATCTATTAAAATAGCCATTAAACATATGAAAAAATTATTTTAATGAACATTAGAAGTACATTGGAACAGTGAAAGGTGCCTTTCAAAAAAGTTTAAAATATTAAGAAATAGGAACATTTCAATAGAAGCAAAGAAAAGAGTGTTGAATTACTGTGTAATATCAATCATCCTATATGGCAATGAATGCTGGGTAATGTTCTCACAGATGAGGAGGCGATTTGATTTGAGTTGACAAAGATGTAGCTCTACAGAAGGATGCCGAGAATACCATAGACAGCTCCTGAGAGCAATGAGGAAGATTTAAGGAAAATGGACACTTAGAATCAGAAAGAAACAGCTGAAATTTCTAGGACACATAATGTGACAGATTTGTTTTTTATGACTTACCAACCCTTTATCAGTTACTTAAAGCCAAAACAGAAAAATTATTTTTTGTGAGTGAATGTTGCATTAAAAGGGTCTTAAGAATAACAATTTTTTTTCCAGATACAAGTCCTACTATTTAACCCATAGCTGAGAGGAGATATAGTCATACCTTCCCTAAGTATGTGGATAAGTGATTGTAATGAACTTGATTGGAATTCAAACTCTATTCTCTGAATTTTCATTCCAAGTCACTATTCATTATACTACCTGCACATAGTAAGAAAGGAGGGCTTGGAGAATTTGACACTGACAGGACATACTGATGGAAAAGAGGGACAAACGGAAACAGTGTAACCTACCTAATGAGTGTGTGTAAATGATGGTTGGAGAAGAACTGGGAGGGATAGTAAGAGGACAGATATTACCTATAGCTAAAAAGGATAGGAAGCTGTGGAGAACTGCGATCTCTCACATCCTGAAGGGACAAAGCACAAGAAAAAGTAATTAAATATAAGCATGCATTGTGGTCGCTACATATCGATTCACATAACCTACAGAGGGAGCCAAGACTTTGTTGATCTTCAAGACAAGCAGTTCCAATCGACTTAGAAGATTGGCTCAACACAATCATCTTGGTCAATTTCACCTTGTTTCAGAGAAAACTAATATATATATATATATATATATATATATATATATATAGTTCAAATAGGTGAGTTCAAATCCATTACATTACATCCACTTACGGGCTAATACCATTAGGAAAGGTATAAATCCTCTTTTTTCCCCCAGCTATTAGTAACTAGCAGAAGAGACTGGGTTCTGTAACCTTGGGTGGCAACCGGTCTAGGAGAAGGGAAAACTCTGAATTCAAAAACAGCCTGAGAGAGTTGGGCTGGCCAGGCTATCTTGCAAGAAACACCACTTCTGCTGCGACTGCAGGACACATGGTAATTTACAAATCTATGGGTCACACGATAAATATATATATATATATATATTTATTTTTTTTTTATCATGTGACCCATAGTGTACGTTGAAATATATATATATATATATATATATATATATATATATATATATATATATATATATATATATACTCAGGTTTGCATTTAGTAAACTAAAAGAAAGATAAAAGAAAGTGTAAGCTACCAGTGCAGACAATGTTTTATGTGGCCATAAACAGATAGAAACAAAAGCAATATTTAAAACAGATAAAATGGGTAGTGGTAGAGGAAACAGACATATATAAGAAAACAAAGAGAAAAAAAAACAAGTAAATCTTATAGTGACAGATGAGGATAATACAATACAGCTGTCCAAATGGATATAAAATTACAAATAGGTCTCATGCTGACAAGCTATGAATGTCAAAGTGTTAAAGCTGGTTATTGCATAATAGAGCCTCCATCCATGCTAAATTTCTACAGTCTTGTTTAAAGAAAAAAAAAAAAAAGACATTAAAATCATGACAGATGATACTGGTAAAATTTCTGTATCTGTCTATATTTCTGAGATGAGGTATTATGTACACTATTTACATTATTTGGACCATTATCCTCATTTTGTCGTCATATTTATTACAATGTTTCGGCCTTTCAGTATCTGTCTATATTTCTGAGATGAGGTATTATGTACATTCTTTATATTATTCGGACTATTGTAACTGACATCCATTAAACAGGGCACGTGGAACTAGAACAGTCTACCCCAGTGAGCGAAATAAAGGGTTTAGATTGACATTCCAACCACCTGAAGAAGGCCAGAGTGTACAATGGCTGAAACATCATAATAAATATGGCAACAAAGATGAGGACAATAGTCCGAATAATGTAAATAGTGTACATAATACCTCATCTCAGAAATATAGATAGATACTGAAAGGCCGAAACGTTGTAATAAATATGGCAACAAAGATGAGGACAATAGTCCGAATAATGTAAATAATGTACATAATACCTCATGTCAGAAATATAGACAGATACTGAAAGGCCTGAAACGTTGTAATAAATATGGCAAAAAGATGAGGACAATAGTCTAATAATGTAAATAATGTACATAATACCTCATGTCAGAAATATAGACAGATACTGAAAGGCCTGAAACGTAATAAATATGGCGACAAAAGATGAGGACAATAGTCCAATAATGTAAATAATGTACATAATACCTCATGTCAGAAATATAGACAGATACTGAAAGGCCTACAAACGTTGTAATAAATATGGCGACAAAAGATGAGAGGACAATAGTCCGAATAATGTAAATAATGTACATAATACCTCATGTCAGAAATATAGACAGATACTGAAAGGCCTGAAACGTTGTAATAAATATGGCGACAAAAGATGAGGACAATAGTCCGAATAATGTAAATAATGTACATAATACCTCATGTCAGAAAATATAGACAGATACTGAAAGGCCTGAAACGTTGTAATAAATATGGCGACAAAAGATGAGGACAATAGTCCGAATAATGTAAATAATGTACATAATACCTCATGTCAGAAATATAGACAGATACTGAAAGGCCTGAAACGTTGTAATAAATATGGCGACAAAAGATGAGGACAATAGTCCGAATAATGTAAATAATGTACATAATACCTCATGTCAGAAATATAGACAGATACTGAAAGGCCTGAAACATCATAATAAATATGGCAACAAAGATGAGGACAATAGTCCGAATAATGTAAATAATGGTAAATTTCTTTATTTCTCAATAGTTAAGATGTTGTTATTAAATAAGAATAATTTCAGACATGATCAAAGACAGTATGAATAAAATTAAAATTTATTAAAATATTTAAAGAGGAAAAAAAAAAGTCAGTTTTTTTTTTTTTTTAATGTACCAAAAAGCTACAAAAGTTGCCAAAGTAATAATATTTTATGTTGTTTTGCAGTTTTTAATTTTTCAATTTAGAGCTAGATTTTAACCTGTGTCAGTTTTAACTGATTTGTTTTGTAAAAAAAAATCTTTTTAATAAATAAATTCAGTCATAAAGAAAAATGTGCTATGAAATAGCACATTACTATGAATAGTTGAAATTCCTTGGATTTTTAAAATGAAGTTTATGAGAAGTTCAAATTCCTTTTACGTTATTTTTTATATTTATAGTTTTTAACAGCTGGAGATAAATTTTCAAATACACATATCTCCATTTTTTACAAAGCGAATGAAAATAATTTCTATACCAGAATATTCTTCAATTCTTTTAAATATGGAAACAGATTAATCTTTAAATGCAATTTAAATGGATTTTTGGTCAGAGAGTCTGTGAGAATATCTATTTGAATGATGATAAATGGTTTGAATCTTGTCAAAATATTCCTTCTACATCATGATCTGCTGAAATGAAGGTCAGATGAGGAAAATTTGTACAAGCAATGAATATCTGACATTTTCCCACATTTGACAGCATGCCGAGGTGAGGACAGATACAGTTGTTGTTGCTACTAATATTTTATTAGGATTTTTTCTTTTCTATTTTAATCATAATTAAATAATGTGCAAAAGGGTTCTTTAATCTTGGGATGATATTTAATTTTACTGAATAATTAAAAGTGATATTTAGACTTCTCAAAATGCAATTACTATCAGTCCCAAATGGATTTCCGTCCTGGGTATGACAATAAACTACATCCGTGTCCTGGGTAAGACGATAAACTACATCCAACAGCAAGGCCTCTGATAAGGAGATTGGAGGTTTTGAGGAGCGTGGAACTATCTCTTAATTGCTGGTGTTCCCAGGTCCACCTTGACCTGGGGTGGTAGCACCTGTTAAGGTCCCAGCTATGGGCAAATAGTTAACACTCAAACTTGTGTAAAAATAGGTTTTAATACCAGAAATACTTTGGAATAAAAAAGTTTATTACCAGCAATAATTTTTGAAGGAAAATTTATTATCAGCAATACTTTAAAAAAAAAAAAAAAATACCAGCAATACAAACAGCTATACATTCTTTGAAAAAAAATATGACCAGCTATAGATTTCTTCAAGGAAAAATATTCCCAGAAATAGATTTTTGAAGAAAAACATTACCAGCAATAAAAATTTTGTCGCCATTAAATAACCCATTGAGGTTGATATGCCGTAAAACAAACCAAACCAAACCCAAATAGAATTATACAAATGATTATTTTTTTTTTCACATGAATTTCATCTTTTCAGTGTTTTTATTGTACTAATATACATTTGGTTGATGTTACTTTTTTGCTATTTATTTTTACACATACTCAACTAATATATTGGATATTTTCATTTTACTCCCTGTGATAAATTACAGAAAAAGAAAAATTCAATCTTTAATCCTTTAGTATTCAACACAGTCAAATCCACCCCCATAAATATCGGCTCTCAAAGCCTCACTGTTTGTGGTCAGACACATCGTTTGCATGTCTTCCAGCATTATTTGTGATGATGCCGTCATCTATTATGACAGAATATACATGAGACAGGTTACAGCAGGTTGAACGTTGAGAGCCGATGGCATGTGGAACAAGAACAATCTACCCCCATGGACAAAATAAAGGGTTCGGTTTGAAATCACCTGAAGAAGGCCGGAGCGTAAAATGGCCAAAACGTTGTGAATGTGGCAATGAAGATGAGAATAACAGCCCGAATAATGTAAATAATGCAAGTAATCATAATACCTCATTTCAGAGATATAGAGGCCGAAATGTTGTGAATATGACACTGAAGATGAAAATAACAGTCCAAATAATGTAAATAATGCAAGTAATCATAATACATCATCTCAGAGATATAGAGGCCAAAACTGTTGGACGTAGTTTATCATCTTACCCAGGACAGTTTTCTTGTGTTTATATTAATAATAATAAATTAAGTGAAGTTATATTTTTACTTCTTTAACTAGTTTGGTCCAGTTTTAATGAAATCTAAAACAGATTATTTTCACTTATTTAGATAATTCCATCATTTTTTTTCCAGTTCCATTTGACTAATTTGTAGTAATGTGAAATAGCAGATAATAACAATGCTTATTTTTATGAACACTAGTTTTTTCTAACTTACGACTGAATTTTGAAATTAAATTTTTTCTAAACTTAATGAATTAAAAAAAAAACAAAGCTTTGATAGAAATATTGCTTATAAATGGCAATTTTTAAAATTTGAATTAAAACTGAATAAATATTTATTAACACTTCCTCTGCTAACTACAGAGATCTTCGTTTTTCTTATCTTGCTCCAGCTGGCTAATCTTTTACGGAAACCTATGTTTTTGCATACCGCTGGTATGAGTGTATTATTGCCATCTATCGAATAAAATGACAAATTACAATGCTTCAAAAGATATCATGTGTATACCCATTACTTATCTGGTAAGTCATTCCCAGGTATATCCATGAAAATGGAATGCAATAAAAAACACACTGGTGCCAGTTTTCTGTGTAATAAAATATGTAGGTTGAAATTTGGCATTTTCTTTAAAAAAAATGGCTGGCCGGATGGGGGCAACACTGGACAAATGAGTAGCAGTAAAAGTGTTAAAATATGGTTTTAAAAAGTGTTATACAAATTAAATATTACTGTTTATTTTGTAAATACAATTTGTTAATAATAATATAAATAAAAAACTGCTAGTAAATCCTTCATGTATTGGCTAAGGTTGGTTTGTTCTACTGATGTAAGGTGAGGGAGAAACCGACAAAACTTTAGCATTACACAAATTTATAAAAGAGAAAAATACAGATTATAATTACTGTTGTATTTCAAATAAAAGAAAAAGTGAATGATGGCCAGATTTTGAAAGAAAAAAAATTCCTAAGAAAATACAATGTGAAAAAGAGAAGAGATTGTATCAAAGAAATGCAACTCTCCTGACAGTTTTTAGTTAAATGTTTTTCTAGAGTTCAACTTCCACTTTAATGAATGAATGGGTTGTGAATCTGATTAGCTAGGCATAAGATAGTGACAACCAGCCTCAAACCATTCCCCACTTTTTGACCTTGTGCCACAATTGCTGTATTTTCAAGCAATAAATCTCAAATTCAACCCCCACTTGTCAAAACTGTTTTTTGATACAAGAAATTCAAATACAATTTACAAGTTCTGATCATTCTTTAACAAAGAAACAAATTGTTAAATTTCACAGAATAAATCTGAAGACAATTTGAATAAAAAGAAGACAACTGGAAAATATATTTCTTAGTCATTGCTGACATGTTTCATCAATCTGACTTTATCAAGGCAAGTTTAAAAGCAAAATGTTTTTAGTTACATTAAATTCAAATATTAAGGGAAACCTCCTGTTTAACTAAAAACATTTCACTTCTAAATTTGCCTTGATAAAATTGGATTGATAAAACGCATCAGCAATGACTAAGGAATATATTTTCCAAATTTTTTCTTCTTTTTATCCAAATTGTCTTATCTTTAGAATTATTCTGAGAAATTTAACAATATGTCAACTTCAACAAATTCTTCTTCTAAAAAAAAAAGTTACAAATATCCAGAAGAAGGCTTACACAGGAGTGTTCTCTTTATATTTTGAATTTAATGCAACTAAAAGACATTTCGCTTTTAAACTTGCCTTGATAAAGTCGGATTGATGAAACGTGTCAGCAATGACTAAGAAATATATTTTCCAATTGTCTTCTTTTTATCCAAAGAAACAAATATAAATCACTTACCTCTGTATACACAATGTCTGCTCCATAATCAAGGGCTAAAAGTCTCATGGGAAGAGTACCTACTCTAACCATTGGGGCAAGAATGCGCTTGCTCTTAAAGTCAAGAGTTTTCTTACCATCTCCCATGACAATAAAAATAAGAGATCTAAAGAAAAGAAAAAAAAAATATGAATTATTTATCAGTTTTTTGAGCAAATGAAAGTAATCACAAATTGGACATTATGTATAGCTGCAGGCATAGTGTTATCAGCTCTTCCCAGTGACCTAGGGGAATTTGTAGGTATACAGATGACCTGTATACCTACAAATTCCCATAAGCCATCATTGGAACTTCCATCTCTTCCAACCTAAACATCTGTTTTGGTGCAGCTGGGGTGGGGGCTGGAGCTCTCTCTCTCTCTCTTCTAATTAAGGCTCTTCAGCACAAGGATTCAAAGGAACATTAACATCTACCATATATACTCATGTATAAGCCAACTTCATGTACAGTGTTACCCTGGAATTTTTTGACATGAATTTCAATCCTTCCAGAAAAAAAAAAAAAGATTTACTTGTGTATATTGTAACTGGTCACTGAAAATGCATGATTTTTAACCTCTTCAAAAAAATTACCTGTGTATAGTGTGACCACCAACTTTTGTATAAAAAACTGATCATAAAAACACGTGCTATACATGAGTATATATGATAAATCATCTTATCTCGCAAACAGGCAAAGTGGGATATACATATTTGTATTATATTTTTGAATTTACCATAATTGGTCTTAGCTGAATATTTTACCAATGTTTGTTCCTTTGTCTCATTTCACGGTGTTGAAAAAATGGGAATGTGTCTCAGCATGTAATTTTTTTTTTTTTTAGAAGGAAATCCCATCGCAGTAGAAGTGGTATTTCTTGGGCAAGATAGTTTGACAGAGGCCAACCCTCTCCAGGCCGGTTTTGAATTCAGAGTTTTTCCTTGTTCTAGACCGTTTGCCACCCAAGGCTACAGAATCCACCCTGTCCTGCTATTTACTCATAGCTGGGAGGAGACGAAGAGGATTCATAGCTTTCCAAAGGGTATTAGCATGTAAGTGAACATAATGGATCCAAATGGAATTCAAATTTGGCTCTCCAAGTTCCAATCGGATCCATTACATTCACTTTCGTGCTAATACCCTAAAAACAAAAACAACGAAAAACCTTGTGGGTGGAACTCGTTTAGCCTTTGATGATGTGACCATGTGGCAGTTAGTAGTGAGTTACATGGTATGAATAACACTCGTAAAAAACTAAACAAGACTAAACAGAAAATATCTAAAGCGTGATCAAGACTTTTGGAAATAATTTAGTCACTTTAACTGAAGTCTACTGCAGTCGTAGTAGAAGTGGGGTTTCTTAGCCTGACAGAGCCTAACCCTCTCCAGGCCGGTTTTTGAATCCAGTTTTTCCTTCTTCTAGATTGGTTGCCACCCAAGGCTATAGAACCCAGTCTGTCCTGCTATTTACCCATAGCTGGTGGGAGAAGAAGAGGATTCATACTTTTCCCAAGAGAATTAGCATGTAAGTGAACGTAATGGATCCGACTGGATTTCGACCTCGGTGGCTCTTTGATTTCCTCAATCTGAGCCACTATCCATTACTCCACCGTGCCTTCCATTCAGCATGTAATAAAACATCATAAAAAGAACTTGGTCTTTATTTTGTTGCTAACAGAGGCATATTTTGAATGTGATAAAACTAAAAAAAAATAAATAAATAACTGATACCAAAATACAGAAGCTTTTTTTTTAAACATTGAAGAGTTAATTTTCAGAATATTTCTTGAACAGAATATCAACATCCTCAAACAAGTTCCAAGAAATCAGTCAGTTATGTGCCATGTGTGATACACGCTTAGGTGATCATGTATCTTTCAATACATGACTGACGAGGCAAATTTTTTCCCCCCTGCAGTAGGTTGCCATTTCTTTCTGCGGTAGACCAGTTTCCATCCAAGGCTATAGAACACAGTCTGTCCTATTATTTACCCATAGCTAAGGGGGAGAAAAAGAAGATTCATACCTATCCCAAGGGTATTAGCATGTAATGGATTTGACTGGAATATAGTACATAAAATAAACCTTTTCAAAACAGAAATTATGATCTGGAATTGGAATGAAAGCAGTGATGACACATTCCTTAAATCCACCATAAAAATTCAGGTTGTGGAATTCTTTCTCTCTTTCTTTTTATGTGCCATGTCCTTTCAGAATGTAGGCCATCATGGCTCTCCACCTCTCTCTATCCCTTGCAGCTCTCAACAAGTTCCTTCCTTCTGCTACCTCCCCTGTGATCCACCTGCTTAAGCTTGCCAGGTATGTCATGCGCTGCTTTCCCTTGTCTCTCTTTCCCTCTATTCAACCTGTGAGTATCAGATTCTCCAAGCCCTCCTTCCTCATTATGCATCCAAGAAACTTCAGCTGCTTCTTTCTGATGTTAAGTATAAGTCTCCTCCTTGTTTACATCCTCTCTAAGACCTCATTGTTGCTCACATGCTTGGTCCATGATATCCTTAGCATCCTTCTGTAGAACCACATCTTGGTCACCTCAAGTCTCTTCTTCATCTTTGAGGAGATGTAGAATTAGTAAAGACTAAAAACTTCAAATACCTTGTTGCATGGATCAATTGTAACAAATTTAGTATAGGCAAAAAAGGATACTGAATATATATATATATATATATATATATATATATATATATGTTGCACCAGGGATAGTTTCGCCCAACACCACAAAAAATCAACATGAAAATTCGTACACTATTTTACATTATTCAGACTATTGTCCTCATCTTTGTTGCCATATTTATCACAACATTTTAGCCGTTGTACACACCGGCCTTCTTCAGGTGGTTGGAATGTTGAACCAAACCCTTTAATTCGCTTGCAGGGGTAAACTGTTCTAGTTCCACATGCCATGTCTAATAGATGTCAGTTATCAGTTATCTCCTGTTAATTTCCCTCTCCAAGTTCTCCCACCACCTTAATCAGCTATTGAACTTACACTCTTTGGGTCCTGTCACTGGATCTAATTAACGCCTTTATCCACTGTGCCATGTGTCAGATCAAGACTTTCATATGGATGCCATGCATGGCACCAAATCCATTCAGAAATATCTAAATTGTCAGCTGTATGCAACCGCTTTCTAAGATCAATGTTTAAAAATGGATTTGAACGAGTGAAGCTTGATGATTTTGGTGAAGGCCATCCTTCTGAAATATTGCAGTCTGGCGCTACAGAATCACAAACAAAGAAACCACATTACTTGAGGACTACTTACAGTAACAAAAACTAAACTGCATAGCACATGTAACACAAAGAAAAAAAATAATGGTATAGTCAAGATGTTGATATTCCACACTACTTCAAATAAAAGGTTAGGAAGGAACCCCCCCCCCATCTATACTGGAAAAGCAATAACAGCTACTGAACTTCAGAAACTTATTTTCCTGAAAAATTTTTTTAAGAGAGAGATTTCATGCATTTCAACTGAAAGCTGTACTGGCTGCTCAGCCAATGATAAATACTTTCATGGTAATTATTCTAATGAACTTTCCTCTATGGTACCTAGACATTATGAATTCAAGCACAGTACGATATTGGCAGCAAGGTCTCATCATTTCAGTCAAAATGACTAAATATAACCGTAAGTTCTATGATAACAGTTTCTTTTATCATACTTATCACGTCTTGCTTTCCAGTCAATTTTGATCTTCAAAAAATTTAAATGCAATGTCAGTCATTATTGGCTGTCTTCTTAATTTCTATTCTTTTAATGTTCTCTCTCCTTAAGAGTGTTTTTTCTAACACTGAGTCTGAGTAACCCCTTGCATTTTAGTGGCTTTATTGCCTTGCTTGGTGTGATTTGATAAAAAAAAAAAAAAGTATATTTTAGGCAAACTGCAACATCCATCTTCTCCACATCAAATATTATTGGAAATAAACAAATTTTTCTTGTTTCAATTTTACACTGACTAAGAGTCATTTTATTTTTTATTGTGCAGCTAAGTTGATCAATTTTTTTGGGGGGGGGGGATTCCCATAAAAATCCCCATAAATGATAATTTTCAAAATGTAAATATTTACATTAATACTATTGTCCTCATCTTTGTTGTTATTATCATGAATTTTGGGCATAGTTTCCTCCTTCTTTAGGTGCTTGTAAATGCAGGTAAACCTTTGGGGAATTCTGAATTGAACACTTTATTTAATCTACAGGGATAGAGTGTTCTCATTCCACTGAATGTATCTAAGGATATCTTGTCTTGTTCTTATTTAGTACAGCTCAGTTATTGCACTACGTTTGCACCACCCATTTTACTTTTTCTTTTCTTCCTCGCTGACTGCTGTTGGTTGTTGTGGTGGTGGTGGTGGTGGGGGTGTCTATTAGACTTTCAATAGGGGGCGCGCACAAGTGTAACATAACTAACATTTTGCCTAGACCATTGGCTATTAATATATAAGATTATTTTCAGATAATCCAACAACCAGTTTGTTAAGCTTTTATAATTTTAAGAATCGGTGACAAGTCAAGGAGACAGACAAATCTGACTTCAAAATCTGGTTTGCGGCTAGCAACTACATCATGTGAGGAACCTGCTTTCTATGGGAATCGCAGAAACAATGACTAACTTGTGGCAGCAGTCATGCACTCCACAGCTGGAATGTCCGGAACTTGAGAGAGAGAGAGAGAGACAAGCCTAGGCATACCAGCATCATATAAAACTTGATAAATATATCAAATATCAATAAAACCTTTTCTGTATACTAGAATTCATCCAATACAAAGCTTGAGAACCACTCAAAATAGAGAGGTAATGTTAAAATGTTAATGATTAATGAGGTATATGCAATAATAGCATTCTAGATTTCTAGGAACCGGTTCTTTAAAGGCAGGTAATCTTTATGAAACTACATTCTGCTTATTTTCTTTTCAAACTGAGAATGAAAACAGTCACTTTATAGTATCAACAAGAATTAAACGATTTTGTTAATTTAATAGAAAACATTTGAAACATTTATTTAAGATATTTCCAGATTGAAATTCTGTTCAGATGTATGATGCTTTTTGACTCTAGTGTCATCACCTGTGTTATTAGCCACATTCAAACTGAATCACCACACTCAAAGAGGCAATGGAAGACCTATCAAATTAATAGTGAGCAGATATGCCACATTTTTAACTTCAAAACGATTTTTTTTTTGTCAGAATAAATTATGTTCTTCACAGAAAACCATCTGTAGAATTTACAGCAATGTTATTAATTATATTTTCAGCTCCTTGGATTGTTTTGGGTACATGTTTATGGTAATTTCTCATCATGTTTTCAACATAATCACAGAAATCATTATTGTTGTCATAGGGGGCATGTGTCTATTAGAGTTACACTGTGCACACACTAGTATAGCATAACTAACATTTTACCTAGACCATTGGCTATTAATATATAAGATTATTTTTGGATAATCCAACAATTGGTTTGCTAAGCTTTTACAATTTTAAAGAATCGGTTTGTGTGAACCAGTAGGATGTCACCACTGCATACACCATTTTATCAAGGGTCAGATTATGACCTTTTGGCACCAGTCTCGAATAATTTTTTTTAACTCATTATATTTTAGCGACATTTACATAGCTTGAAGTAGTAAACATTGTAAATTCTTTAAATAAACTAGAATACCTATCTTTTGTTTGTCAATAAAAATAAGAAATACCACTTGCAAAGCAAAACAACCGTAGAAAGAAATATATATATTTTTTTATAACCAGCATTATAATCGAGAGGCCCTAGGCTGGTGAAGCCCATACTAGCCTAAAGGATAATTCGGTCCTTTAAGTAAAATTGCCTAATGATAAAAATAGGAAAAGAAAGGCGTATTATTCTTTGTTTTTTAATGTTTGGGTGCTCCTTTGAAGAGGGCTTGCGAGAAACAATCACGTTGGCGTTGACATTTTCATTAAAATATAATTATTGAAAAAAAAAAAAAGTAGTAAAAGACATTTAATTCAAGTTTCCACTTTATTCTTCGATAAACCAGTATTAAAACCTTTTTTTAAATTCATTATTTTTATTTTTTAAGGCAAAGTTTCGTCAGAGATCGATTGGTGCAACAAGCACGTGTTTAAAATGTCCGAATACTCGAGAATACGAACTTCGCAATTTACACTTCGAACAAGACAATTTGAATAAATGAAAAAAAAAAAAATTCTTTAATTTACATTAAAGGTGAATTTTAATATTGTCTCGACAGCTAGATATCACAGGAAACTTCGAGATTTTTTTAAGTGTAAATTTGTGTTTTTGTTTTTAAAGTACTTTTTGAAAGTATACGCAAATTGTTTTGAGTTTTAAAATATTTCATAAAAAAAAAAAAAAAAAAAAATTAAATATGGTTCCAGGATTGACCATAGAAACATTTTTTTAGATATTCTTATTTAATTGAGATTTGCAATTAACAAAAATTTCCCACAGAAAACAAGTTTACTTTAAGTTACTTAAAAAAGAAAAGAAAAAAGGATTTGCTAATTTCGTTCCAGTCAATCCAATCGTAATTATAATCGTAAATTAAATTTAAAAAGTCAATAGAATATTTCAAAAATGAATATCAAACAAAACAGAGATTTTAATTATTAAAGCTAAAAGTAATTATTTTGCAAATAAATTTCCTAAGATACAGTGAAAAAAAAATAACCGGAAAAGTTTATGTGACAATGTGTCTTTCTTTTTCTTTTTTTTTTTTCTTACGTGTATGGTTATTTTTTAAAAGGTTTCGGCAAATGTATATTTCAAGAATTAAGAAATTCTTTCCTGCAGGTAAATGTAAAAAAAAGAAAGAAGTACATGTTTCTGTTTTGTTTTAATGTCGAATAATTTGGGATGGGCACGAAACCAGCTTAAATTCATACACGTGTAAAAAATAAGAAAAAAATACCAGATAAATATTTGTTTAATTTTACAGTTAAAATAATAAGGATTTTACAATGCTTTGGATGAATTAAAACGCATATTCAATACAATTAGCGAAAGAACTGGAACAGCTACTAAGATTAACATATAAGGTTTACTAAACTAAAGAAGTACTTACGAGGCTGGGAGTTTATCGTAATGGTTGAAACAACTGAGAGTTATCTCCCTTTAATTAAACCACGTTCAGGAATTTATGTGCAGACTAACGTCTTAAGAAAGAGAGAGAGAAAAGAGTTTTAAAATAAATTTAAGATCTAATAAATTTATCCACTTAATCTCGCAATCCTCTGTTTTCCGCTATTATATGTACAATGTACATATATCATCACCATATAAGTTTTCGTATGCAGCAAACTGCACATTTTTTTAAATAAAATAATACAATTTATTATTTATTTAATTTATGATTCATGATATTCATCATTCTAGAAATAAAGATCTGAAATTTCATCATTCTCAATAAAAACAACCTTTTCACCAGTGATGATGGATGATGATGATATTTCATCATTCTAGAAATCAAGATCTAAAATTTCATCCCTATGAAAAAACAACCTTTCCACCACAAGCAGGTGGCAGTAGCAGTAGTAAAAAGAACAAGAAAGACGTATTTTCTTCACTCCATGAAAATTCAGAGTTGACGGTTTCAAAAGCTTCCCTTAACCACAAAATTCTCAGAACAATTTTAAACTAGTAAGCCCAATAGTGTAAACTGCTCTCTCAAGTAGTTTACACACTCTGATAATTACCAGGCACAGGGATCCATCCTTGCACTGGTAGTCTCATGGTCATGACTAGCTTGGACCGGTTATGACTAGTTTGAACCAGCTATGACTAGCTTAGAGCAACTTGGACCAGCTATGATTAGCTTAGACCAGCTTTGACCAGTTAAGACCAGCAGCCCGAGTGAAGATACTCGGGTCTCCACATTTAAAAATCAACCTTGTGTTACAACCTGACTCTGTGGAGGGTCAAGTAAATACAAACTAGTAAACCCAAACTTTTAAAGAAACAAAAACATATAATAAGCCTGAGAACACTTAACACACACAAAACCAATATTGTAAATAACATCACGATAAAAAAAATACACATTCATGTCATTTATTTCAACACGTGTTTCAAAGTCTTATTGTTGTATCTTATTGTTGTACATTTTATTCATTTCATTTTTCGGTTTAAAAAAAAGAGAAAAGGAATCTTCTATCAATTACTAATTGCTATGGTTCGGTTCCTTGTACCACGGTGATAGTCCAAGGTAGAATCAACAAAGAAGAACTCGAACACGGATATGGAATAGCATAGATATATTACAAACAGGAATATATACAGAGGTAGAAAGTATTAGTACGAACAATCAGGTTCAGTAGTAATTGTCTGAACGCAACTCTGTTTCGGACTGCCTCTGACTCGACTGACTGACTCGCTCGCTCTGAGAGACAGACAGACTTCTGACGGACCTCACTCCAGACTTCAGACTGAACAGTATTTAGTCACCCCCCCATGAGGGCATCATATGGCACAAGGGGATCTGGGATCTCTGAGCCCATGAGATCAGCCAAAAATATGCCCTTTGAACCCATATAAATGGGTTCAGGGTCGGTTTACCTCCCCGAAAGAGACTCTGCCCTTCATTGTAGCCTCATTCGGGTTCCTCCCCGCCCGAAGGCAGAGAGTTCAACTGATAAGCCAGTCAGCCGGTTGCCCAACTTCGGTCTGAACTCTCTGCTTCCTCTTGAGGTGCAGTATTTATTACGTATGGAATAGTCCATTATGTTATTATGGGTAAGGTCCCATAACACTAATATACATATATTTCTATATGTTCCATAAGGTGAGTAGATGTGGGTTTAAGATGGCTGAAACATATGTCAAAGTGTTGAAGATGTTATGATTCATGATGATGATGATATTTCGTCATTCTAGAAATGAAATTTCAGCATTATAAAAACCACCTTTCCACCACAAGCAAGAGTAGCAATAGTAAAAAGAACAACACAGACTGGACAAGGCGTATCTTCTTCAGTTTGTAAAATTCCAAAGTTGACAGTTTCAAAAGCTTCTCTTAACCACAAAATTCTCAGAACAATTATAAAGAAATAATCCCAAATTTTAAAGAAAGAATAAGAGACAATAATCCTGAGAACATTTAACACACACAAAACCAATATTGTAAATAACATCACAATAAGAAAAATACACATTCTTGTCATTAATTTCAACACGTTTCTCAAGGGGCAACTTACATTAACACAACTCAACACAACCTCATTACAAATTAATAATTTATGTCCCTACACACAAGCCACCAAACTGCCACTGGGTGACATGCCACTAGCATTTACCACTGATGGCCTGCTGTCGGATCACCGGCGTGTTCGTCTCGGCAATGTTACCACTGGCAGATTGCTAGAGGTCCACCAGTGGCCTGCCAGAGGCTGCCACCAGAGGACTGCTGGCATTGCCATCAGCAGCCTGCCATTTGGCCACTAGCAGTTTGCATGTAGGGATGTTCCAAATACTTATCATAATAATTTTGTTGGAAAATCTAATTTTAATTTTTTGAAGAAGTACAAAACTCAAAAGTATTTTTTTTGTTATCATTCTTAATGTCATCTCTCTTAATGAGAGGGTAAATGCATATTTTGATTATTTTTCATCAAATAAAGAAAATTACTTTATGTGTCAATATGAATATCTAAAAAAAAGTCAATGATTAAAAAATAAAATTGCTATAGATTTTTCACAACTTTATAAATGAAACATTCATAAAACTTGATAATTTTTAGATATAAGATTATAAACGAAGTAATAAAGCATGCTTTTAACTTTGCCACCTGTGAGAATATTTAAAGCTACCAATTTTCTTTTAGTGAATCCCGATATAAAAAACAATGAAATAAAATATAAAACTAAAATATAGAAACAAAAAATAAAAAGAATTCAAAATTAAAATAAGGCATTTGGCTTACCTTTAAAACCCTTACCTCTTTCTTTCTCTTTCTCTCTTTCTTTCTCTCTCTCTTTCTTTCTTTCTCTCTCTTTCTTTCTCTCTGTCTTTCTCTCTCTCTCTCTTTCTTTCTCTCTGTCTTTCTCTCTCTTTCTTTCTTTCTCTCTTTCTCTCTCTCTCTTTCTTTCTCTCTGTCTTTCTCTATCTCTGAACTTCTCTTTCTATACTTCTCTCAACCTATAAGAAGGAAACCCTCAAATAAAAAGAGGAAGAAGAAAAGGCTGAACCCAACCAAAAACACCAGAAGTTTGCAGGAGCAGAACCTACAAGGACCATTCAATAAATAAGGTGAATTTTTCGGTATAGGGACTTCTAATACAGATAGAAGCTTACTTTTTTAATTTTTTTTTTGTTTTACTTCTTTTTCCCATGGATTTAATTTCTTTTGCAGATTAAAAAAAAACCTTGAGAGTTTTGGCGATTAACAAAGATGGCCGACCAAGAAGCATGCTCCAGGATTGAACAGCGGTCAGTTATCAAGTTTTTGGTTGCTGAAGGGTGCAAACCAGTTGAAATTCATAGGAGAATGTCAACTGTATATGGTGCCACATGTTTCAGCCAAAAAATGTCTACAATTGGGTTAAATTGTTTAAAGAAGGATAGAGCAGTGTTGAGGATGAAGACAGGCCTGGGAGGCCTACAGAAGTGAGGTCTCCTGAGGTGATTGAATCAGTCAATGACCTCATTCAGTCTGACAGAAGAACTACTGTGAACTGCTGAGGCAGGTCAAGAAAGACATAAAGAACAAACGCAGGGGTCATCAGTCAGAAGGAGTCATTTTGCATCATGACAATGCAAGGCCTCACACAGCAGCCCAAACGGTGCAGACCATCAATAAACTGAGCTGGGAACTGCTCCCTCATCCTGCTTACAGCCCAGACCTTGCCCCTTTAGACTTTCACGTGTGTGGTCCCTTGAGAGTGTTCACGAGAGGCACGAAGTTTAAAAGTGATGATGAAGTCAAAAGTGTTGTGAGCGACTGGCTGAGACATCAGTCCAAAGATTTTTACGCTGAGGGAATACGGAAGCTTGTGCACAGATGGGAAAAGTGTGTGACAGTGCTGGGAGACTATGTTGAAAAATAAAAAAAAAGTAAGCTTCTATCTGTATTAGAAGTCCTTATACTGAAAAATTCACCTTATTTATTGAATGACCCTCGTATTTACTTGTGACTGAAAAATATAAAAAATTGGGAAGGCTCGATGCATAACTTTCATTATTAGAAAAAATTTTAAAGTAAAGAACATTCGAAAATGAAATAAAAAAATTGACACAAAGAGACTTTTGATGTTAACTGAAACCAATGTTCAGGCCAAATTCTCAAGTCAGGTCAAAAAGGATATAAACCTAACTTTTCTGGGCTAAAGGCAAATGGGACAAGAAGAGGATGGAATGAAAAACATTTGTTTAGAAACCATGCATGATGCATGAAGAAAAAGTTAAGAGGTAATTTGTTACTGATATTTTTGCCCTGCTTTATTTGAATAAAAACACAGTAGATTTGACATTGACCCAATTTCTGATATTACTACTACTCCTACCATGGTCTTTTCAAAACACAATTACTGGACATTTCTCCAGACTGCTAGCAACATCTGAACTTTTTTGCTACACCGAATACCAAAGGACTCATTCATCACTCTAAAGAGAATAAATAAAAATATATTATTTATTTTAAACCCTTGAGTCAGTTTGTTTTATTCCTGAAGTTCTGATAAAAACATTATCCCACCACATATCCATACTTGTGACCCTCACACATGGCACAATGTCTTTCTTTTGGGAAGTAAACAGTTTGCAGTAAACGGTTTGGGTTTCTTATGATTGTCATTGTAATTTGTCATTATATTCTATTTTCCAACTAAAGTGGAATTTTTTTTTATTATAACTGTCAATATGATTACCAGAAAAAAATTGAAAAAAGATGGCTACCAATTCATTTATGTAAGGTATCCTGGGATATTGGATTTTCTATGGTATTTAAAAATATTTACAAAAAATATAGTATGCTTATATTGTATATTGCCGCTGGACTCAAATAAAGCAACAAACACTTATATATAAAAAAATATATAAATATCTTTATTGTTCGAGTTGTGGCAAATAGATAGAGTGAGGGAGAATCACAGTGGTTAGGATTGCACACACAGGAATTGATGGAGACAAATCTTTGATGAAACTCTAGCCAGCCTCACTGCCAGGCCAAGAATTGGACTGGTTTTATAACATTTGGACACCCAAGAAACTTCACATGGCTACACCGTCTTCCAGTATGTTGCTAATGCAACTTCTTGTAGCCACACCTCTTCTGGCCATATGCCCACGCAACTTTGTTTGGCCATGCCTCTTCCAGAATGCGCTCACACAAGCACATATTTCCTTTTACTCAGAACACCTGTGCACTCTGTTTATTCAAGGCTCAGGACAGCTGTGCATTCTGTTTATTTTAGCCGCCAGATGCATTTCCTGTTTTATACTATCACCCATTCTGATTTCTGCTCACTCTCTGATGCAGTGGAATAAACCAATAACCAACATTTATATCTTTCCCCATTTATTTGTGGAATAGAGATTTCTTGATAGAACTAAAGTTATTTTCTTTTTAAAATATTCACATATGAAAATAAAATGTTTCTTTTTATTATAATGCAATATTTAACCACATTGTATCTTATTTGTAGCTATTTGTTTTGGCAAACACAGAACATTTATATTTTATTAAAACCTTTTTATATTTAGGAATAAGAAAAGTGTCAGTTTCCTCTTGGAATCCTGAACTTACACCATAAAATGATAAATGTCTCCAGCATGTAAGAATAAAATGATAAGTGTCTCCAACATGTAAGAATAAAATAAAAAATGCCTCCAACATGTAAGAATAAAATAATAAATGCATCCAACATGTAAGAATAAAATGATAAATGCCTCCAGCGTGTAAGAATAAAATGATAAATGTCTCCAGCATGTAAGAATAAAATAATAAATGCATCCAACATGTAAGAATAAAATAATAAATGCCTCCAGCATGTAAGAATAAAAAAATAAATGCATCCAACATGTAAGAATAAAATGATAAATGCCTCCAGTGTGTAAGAACTTAAATTAAATTTATTTTAAGATTCTAAAAAAAATGTTGAGTTCTTCAAGAAAGTGATTCAGAAAGAGTTTTTAAAAAATTATCAAAATCTGACCATTGATTAGTTTTTACTAATTTCTTTCTGTGTAAAGAGGGTTTAAAAATTTGATGTGACTATGATTTACTGGGCATATTTAAGAAAACTGTAGAAATTTATCACCTGCTGAGTAAATTTTCTTTTTTTTTTACAAATGTTGTCTAAAATGTTCATAGGCCAACCAAGATATTGTTGTATTACTGCCCCCAGATTAATAAAATCTCACTGCGGTGAAATTTTGAAATTATTACCACTGATGATTTATGGGCGGTACAAGATTTGAAAGACTCAATCTCTTTCTCAGTGAATTTTCATAGTGTAAAAACGTATTGTTTTCCCTCCTGCAAAATGTGAGTAATCAACTACAGACACTTAAAGCTGCTTTTAACTTTTCACATTTCATTTCGTTTTTCATCTTTTCTTTTGTAAAATGCTCTAACAATATCTGTCTATATTTCTGAGATGAGGTATTATGTACACTATTTACATTAGTCAGAATATTGTCCTCATCTTTGTTGCTGTTATAGTGAACACACTTATTCTATAGTTAATAGACTCTCACATCTAAAATAAGTAGAGTAGTAAGAGTAACGGGGGTCGCTCAGTGGTTTGGGCAGTCAGTTGATGCCGGACGACCGTTAGTCGGATACTAAATTATCAGCGACCACAACTAGATTTCTCTGTGTCATTACCTATTATATCAAGTTCCTAACATTTTGTACGTCGAACCTATTTTAGGACCGACTTAGTACAAATACAAGCCTCCACTGTGAAACCACTCCATAACACACTTGGCGACGAGGATGAGATACTCATACGGAGAAAAAAATTTTTAAAAAAATTCACCCACCATAACAGTTGCCATGTTTATCACAATGTTTTAGCTGTTGTATGCTCCGGCCTTCTTCAGGTGTTTGGAATGTTGAACTGAACCCTTTATTTCACCCACTGGGGTAGACTTTTCTATTTCCATGTGCCTTGTCTAATGGATGTCAGTTATTTCCTGTTAATTCCCTTCTGAAAGTTCTCCACTGCCTTAACCAGGTATTGAACTCACTCTCTTTGGGTCCTGTCACTGGATCTAACTAACGCCTTTATCCACTGTGCCATGTGTCCTTGAGGAAATAAAGGGTTCAGTTCGACATTCCAACTGCCTGAAGAAGGCCGGAGTGTACAACAGCTGAAACATTGTGATAAACATGGTGACAAAGATGAGGACAATAGTCCAAATAATGTAAATAGTGCCCTGACAATATATTTTTTATATTTCTTTGTTAAAATTCTATGTATTATTATTCCTTTGGATTTATATGAGTCCACCAAAAATTGTTAGTGGGTCAAATGTACCAGGAACTTATAACTTCTCATCAAAAGAATATATATCCACTACAATATAAATGTAAATAAACACACCAATTGGTATGTTGCACTTCCAAAAACTAAAAGATATTTTCCCATGAATAAGTGGATATAGTCAGGATGAAAGCAATAGTTAACTTAGACATTTAGATGCCATAATGTAAACAAAGCATTTCAACAAAATAACAAAACCAGAAAATCAGAATTAAGGATTCAACGTAAGCTAAT